GTCTCATTCACTGAGACTTTCAAAGTGTCCTATGAATTCATCGACTCACCTTCTGACTCCACCCGAATTTACCCACCAGCTGAGTCCTCCCATTGCCACCCAAAGCCATCTAAGCCTTCTCTTGACCCTCAGTGATGCATGGATTTGTCCATCCACTTCTTCCATTTGCCCTCTTCATGATCCTCCCCTTGATCTCCCACTGACCCCTCCCTACTGACTCCCTAATTATCCTTTTTACCCCTCATTGATCTTCCATTGACCCCTCATTAATTCTGACGATCTAGTCACTCTACCATTGATTCCTCATTGGGTTCTTTATTGACCCTCCATTTAGCCTCCAACTGACCTCCCACTGTAGTCTCTTTTGATCCCTAATGACTAAACCCTGGTTTTGATCCCTAATGACTTTTGATCCCTAATGACTAAACCCTGGTTAACCAACCAGAATGTTCTCCTTGATCCCTCTCTGATCCTTCATTGACATTTCCAAGAATGTCTGCTGACAGCCACTACCCCCTTCCCTGGCTGTTCTCCCCTCCCGCATTCCCTCCCTGGAGGTGGATGGAATTCTGGAATCACCACCCTTCATTCACAGCTGCCGCCTCCTCGTCTACCGCCGGGGATGCCTGCCCTACGTGTGCGCCCCACGGCGTCCGCTGCGCAGTCGACCAAGCCCTGGTCGCCTACATTGTCACCTGTCAGGCTCTGGGCGTGTGTCTGGGCCCTGGAGGACGCCTGAATTCTGCTGTGAGTGTGTGGGGCTGGCTGGAGATAGTGGGTGAAGCTCTGGAAACTCAGATTTGGGCCACCAGAGGACGGACGCTGGAGGACCAATGGAGAAGTTTAGGCCTGGTTGAGCAGGGGCCAGGCGAAGAAGGGTGGGACTTGAAGAGTTAAGACTACGTTTGAAGAAGCAGCCAGACCTGGAGGGACAGCAGTTTAACAAGGTCTTTCTGTTTTTTGTGCCTGTCTCTTTTTCTCACTATGTCTCCCCTTTGCCCCACAGCCTACACTGCAGGCTTGCCAGGAGGCTGGGATCCCCGTGATACCCTGGAGGGGTCCCCAACTTTGCTGTGAGTGCCCTGGCTGGGTCTGGGATGCATGCCAGGCAGGTTGTGGGCTGGCAGGAAGAGCCCTCTCTCCTGATGGAGATCAGAGAAGACCTGACATAGATGGAATTGGCTGGAGAGTGTGTGGGAGGGGCATCCAAGGGAAAGGAAACTGTAATTCAAAGTTGTGGAGGTTGGAAAACACCAATGGGAAGCTAGCCTGACTGGATGCAAGAGGCAGTAGGACTGGAAAAGGAAACTTGAGTAACAAGCACTCACCTTTGCCATCCACCTGCAGCCCTGACTTGTCCACCTGAAGCCACTACAGCATCTGTGCATGGACCTGTCATGGGGGCTGTGTCCCACCTCTCAGCCCTGCTTACTGTTCTACCCAATGCCATGAGGGCTGTGAGTGTGACCCTGGCCTCATCTTTGATGGCACAGACTGTGTATCCCAGGACCACTGTGGCTGCTTCCACAGTGGATGCAACATCCCTGTCAGAGAGGTCTCCAGGCCTGGGTGGGTAGGCACAGAGTCTCCCGTACCTCATCATAAAATGTTCCCTGAAACACACCATATCAGTAAGACTTTCAGCTGTAACTGACAGAAAATGATGCCAACTATCTTAAATACAACAGGGAATTTATCTACTTTTATTTGTGTAAAGTTGAGGCCTTCAGACATGGCTGGATTCAGGGACCCAAATAATGTCACTAGGACTCAAGTTTCCATCTTTCATCCCTGCCTTTTCCTTTTCCTGTGTTAGCATCTATATTAAGTAGGCTCTACATCCAAATGCTATAACAGAGGCTCAACATTACAGTGGCTTAAACTTGATAGAAGCTTATTTCTCATGAACAATCCATGTATAACCAGTTTGTTTCCTCCAAGTCAGGAACACAGGCTCCTTCTATCCCACAACACAGCAGGGGTCAGCTCCTGGATTGCAGGGTTGAGGAATGAGACAGCTGGAGACAGCAGGTATGGACACCTCTCTTGACAAACTGTCCATGCAGAAAGGGGAGAATAAAGATCAGCTAGAAAGTTCCAGAGGGCAAAGGTATCTTAGAATTGATGATGATGACGACGATGGTGATGATTCTGAGATGGGAGAAACTCAGGGATGTTTAAGTGCTGATGGGAAGAAGCCAGACAAGGAGAGGGTGGAAATCCAGCAGGGAGAGATGCCAGGGTGGAGGATGCATGGCTCCCCAAGGAACTTGGAAGCAGGAGAGCAACAGGAGAATTGAAATTTGGGCAGGCAAAATGGATAGTATTTCTAAGTAAGAGGAAAACAAACCTGAAATCTCATGATGAGAAATAGAATCATCTGTGAGTTCAAGGTTAATTGTAGAAGTGGGAGGATGGGCCAGCAAGAGAACAGCTTGGGTATCTGCCACAACCTGGCAGGTAAACTAAGCCAGAACCTTTGGTTAAAGGGTCAAGAAACCCCCACTATGTCTCTTAAACTTCTAGTGTAACTTTGTGTAAGTGACTCAACCTCTCTCTGTGCCTCAGTTTGCTCATCCACAAAAAGTGGTGATAAGAGTGGTGCCCACCACATAGGGTAGCTGTGAAGATACATATAAAGTACTTGGGGGACTTCTGTGGTGGCGCAGTGGATAAGAATCTGCCTGCCAATGTGGGGGACACGGGTTTGATCCCTGGTCTGGGAAGATCCCACATGTCATGGAGCAACTAAGCCCGGGAGCCACAACTACTGAGCCCGCGTGCCACAACTACTGAAGCCTACACACCTAGAGCCCGTGCTCCACAACAAGAGAAGCCACCACAATAAGCCCACACACCACAACAAAGAGTAGCCCCCACTCGTAGCCCCCACTATCCGCAACCAGAGAAAGCTGGCGCCAGCAACGAAGACCCAACGCAGCCAAAAATAAATAAATAAATAAATTTTAAAAAAATTAAGTGCTTGGTATAAGTAAGTGCCCAGTAAGTATAAGCTGTGATTGCTCTTGCAGCCATTTTTATATTATCTTTGGTGAGGCAGTATGTATAGCAGAGTGGTTAAAAACACAGGTCATGAAATCAGATCCCTGGGGTTTGAAACCTGGCTCTGCCACTTACCAGCTATGTGAACCTGGCCAGGCTATGTTACTTCTCTGGCCTTGGTTTCCTAAGAGGCAAGAGGTATATGGTCCTGCAGATCTACCTTGTCAGAGTGTTGGTGAGGATTTAATGTCACTTAAAATATCAAGTGTTTAGGGACTTCCCTGGCAGTCCAGTGGTTAAGACTCTGCCTTCCAATGCAGTGAGCGCAGGTTTGATCCCTGATCGGGCACGGCCAAAACTTAAAACAAACAAAAAATGTTTTAAATACTATTTTAAAAATAAACTGTTTTAAATATTCACTATTTTCAAATAAATGTATTACATAATATAAATTAGGTGACAAGATATTAAAATAGCATCATATTATATTGCATATTTTATTAACATACTGTGTCATACATTATCTTATAAATAAAATATTAAAGCACTTGAAAGAGTGCCTGGTACAGAGTAGTGCTCAGTAAACAGTTACTAGATTATGAAGACACAGGTGAGAGAGATGTGACAGGATCCAAAGGCTTTTTTTTCTCTCTCTCTAAATCTCCCTTTTAAGAAAGTGTTTATTACGGAAAATTTCAAGCATCACAAAAGAAGAGAGAATAGTGTTATGAAACCCCATTACAGTTACAAATATTTTGCCACTCTTGCTTTCTTTTCCTCTCACTCTTTGTTGCTCCGCGGCATGTGGGATCCTCCCGGACCGGGGCACGAACCCGTGTCCCCTGCATCGGCAGGGGGGCCCTCAACCACTGCACCACCAGGGAAGCACCTCCTCTCGCTCTTCTTGTTTTGTTTGTGCTGGAGGATTTTAAAGCAAATCCCAGACCTTATTCCTCTAGCAAAGACCTGGATACGTATTTCTGATAGAGACACCGAGGGGATTCATAGCGGTTTCAGATCTCCAGTTTGACTCCCAAACTCCGACCCTCTCCCCAGTCCCTGACCCGCCTCCCCTCTAGCATAAGAACCCACGCCCAGCGCAGCTCGCCGCCCAGGTGTGCCGGGTCGTGGTCGCACGCTGGGCGGAGGGTTCCGGGTTATTGTCCAGCGGCCCCCCACGCTCCGGGTGCTGGTAGGGTCCGAGGGGGTCGTGGCATTGCAGGCCTCCCAGCCCTACGAGTACGCCTCCGCGTAGCCTGCGGGGACTCTAACGGAATTGAGGCTGACCTGATAGTCCCTGGACATCGGGGTGCCAGGCTAGTCGAAATGTGCCATGTGGGCTGGACTCTGGACTTCAACAGCTGGGGAGGCCGCTCCCTCTTCTACCCTCGGACCCGACTCATGTCGGTAGAGGGCGCTAAGAGCCCAACTCCCTGCGCTACAGGCTGCGTCTGGGGGCTTACAGCCCACACCATCTCTCACGCCATCTTCTCAGCACCGAGAAGCTTGTCCTGCCGGCTGTGACCCAACACTTCACCGCGTGACCCCGTCTCTCTGCCCGTCCCCAGGGTTGGGACCCTCGACGCACACCTGCTCTGCGGGTGGGAACGCATGGAGCTTCCCGAGATTGCTTTAATAAATAACTAAGGACAAAAGCATGCCTGTGCCTGTCTTCTCTCTCCCAGTGCCCCCAGAGCCCTGAGGCACACAAGGGCTCCAACCTCTAGCTCTCTCCACTCGTAGGACCCAAGAGTCAGGTCAGGATCCCCTGGTCCCTTCCAACCCCAAACCTAAGAGCCTCAGGGCCTAGCGCCCTCCTCATCCAGGCGCTCAGAAGTACCGTCCTCGAAAGGACAGATTTCCTGTGGGGCGGGCCAGTGAACCAGAAGCCCCGCCCCTTACTCACAACATTGTGACGTAGCAGCAGCGACAACCTATGGGACGCGACGGCGCCGCAAAGCTGGGGGCGGGTGGCGGAAGCGTCAGTTGTCGCGTTTCACCGCTTCCCCCAACTGTTCTGCCGCGCCACTCGGTGGGGCGTCCGCTGTGTGAGCCCGCGGCCCAGCTGCTACCATGTGCCGGCACAGCCGGCTTCAGAGACAAGTTCTGAGTCTGTACCGCGAGTTGCTGCGCGCCGGGCACGGAAAGCCGGGCGCCGAGTCGCGGGTGCGGGCCGAGTTCCGGCAGCACGCCCGCCTGCCACGCTCCGACGTACTGCGCATCGAGTACCTGTACCGCCGCGGACGGCGCCAGCTTCAGCTGCTACGCTCGGGTCACGCCACGGCCATGGGTGCCTTTGTGAGTACGCGGGGCCCGACTGAGGAGTCCCCCGGCGCGGGGGCCCCAGGGACCCCACCTGACGAAGGTGACGGCCCAAGGAGACCGCTGGACAGCATGGGGGTACCGAAGACCGCGCCGGATGGACGGTGACCGTCACCCGGTGGCTCAGGGGAACCGGGGGCCCACCTGACTGCGTGGGGGGACTGGGGAACCGGCCTGATGGAAGGTGAGAGGTCTTGAGAGACCAGATCGACAGATTGGGGGAATTGAAGAGCCCTCCTGACGACGTAGGGTGCGATGGCGAGAGATGCCCGATGTATGGTAACGGGTCAAACTTACCCATGAGGGCTTGGGGCAGCCTGGGTCGCCGGCTGGCTGGACTGTCAAGCTGAGAGCTACTTACCCGAAGGCCTTGGGGAGCCAGGACGCCCCGCTGTTGGACAGAAAGAGACAGACACGCCCTTCTCTAGACCCCGGAGAACATACCACTCCTGGCTCCTCAAGGAGACTCCCTTCTTTGTAACTATGAGGAGAGCAGACTTTTTTGCTGAGGAGTTTGGGAAGATGCCCTGATGGCCGGTGAGAAGCCTGAAATCCCCTTAGAAAAATCTTTCGCCCATTGTGACAAACTAGGATCGATGAGGAAGCGGGTAGGGAGTCTCTCACCCCAGCTAATCAATTAAAGACCCCCTCAAGACCTCTACGTGATACTTCTGAGGGGGACTCCCGATTCCTGCCCCTTTCCCTGCTCAGGACTGTTGGACAAAAAGGCAATAAAATTGGGGATGTGCTTACTTCCCTGTTGGTGGTCTTAAAGATTTAATGTTTGGGGGAATTTTTGAAGAGGCACACACACACACACACACCAACTAGTGACCCTCTGGCAAGGGATGGGTGTGGGGAGCTGTCTCTTCCCCTCTGGAGCCCTCTAGAATGGCAGATTGGTTGGAGCAGCATAGTTCTCTCTCCTGGGCAGATCCATGGAGGGGACCCAGCCTGGCTTGACCCCAAAGAAGCCCCAGTAGACTCCTTAATGGAGAGTAATGAGGCAGGAGAGGAATAGTGGAGCTGAGGAGACCTGGCTGGTAACCCCTGAGGTAGTAGTGGGGCCCTCAAACCTGGCTGAGGCTGGTAACCCCTGAGGTAGTAGTGGGGCCCTCAAACCAAGCCTCAGCTACAAGCTGGGATTTTTGTTAGCAAGGCTGAGGGGTTGGGGAGGAGAGGTGGACCCAAAGGCCACAGGCATACCTCCCCCCATAGACCTGCCCTAGATATTCTCTGGAGTACTGCACTTTGCAGCCCTCAGCTGTATTTGCACTGATGTCGGTTAAATAAGTGGAAAGCAGTTGAATGCAGTTGAGAGGAGGAGGAGGGCCTCAGGAAAGGAGCCCAGACCTCAGATCAAAGGTAGTACGGACAGAAGAGAAACACAGTCTCTGCCCCAATCCCAGTGGGGGAGGCAGGAACCCAAATAGTAATAAAGTTGGGGTGCAATTTAAAGAATTATAAAGTGTTTGCCAGAATGTAGGGATAGGCTTCCAAGCAGGGGGACCAGTGTAGGTAAAGGCCTGGAGAGGGAGAGGGGAGAAATGCTGGGGCCTGGAGTGCCCCAGAGCACAGGCTGTGCTGTTCATGCAAGTGGCTTCTACTTCAGCTTTGTCTCTGGTTGGTGCTCGGCCTCCACGGCCATGTTCGTCTCTCTGCCTCAGTTTCTTTGGCCAGGGTGATGCTGCTAATCCTGGCCTGACTCCATTTTGGAGTAAAAGCCGAAGTCTTGAAAGTGGCTTAAGAGGTTAAGTCCTACCTATCCAGCCCCCATTACATTTCCACCTGCATCTCCCTCCTCTTCCTCTTGCTCACTCCTGGCTCCAAGATCTTGAGCCTTAATAAGCTCCAGGATGGGAGCTTCTGGCAGGGCTGCAGGCAATGATTGAGTTCTCACTGGGGCTGGGTATCCCGGTCAGGAAGGGAGACATTCACTCGGGTGTTACAGAGGAATGGAGTTTGTCTGGTAGAGAGGATGAGGGAGGGGATTGCCCGATTTGAGGGAGGAGGTTGTAGGTGAGTGAGCAGTGATTAAGAGCATGGACCCTGGAACTGGAATGCCTAGGTTTGAATCGCAGCTTCAACACTTACTGATTACATGATCGGAGGCAAGTGATTTAACCTCTTTGCGCCTCGACACCCTTATCTGCAAAATGGGCATACTAATCGTGCCTCCCTCCTGTGGCTGTTATAATGATACAGTGAATTAAATACATGTGGCAGCAGGTGATGATGTCCCAACCCCACTTGTACCTGCAGAGGAGGGTTCCCAAGAGGCAGCCAGCTTCCTGCTCTGAGCCCCTGCATCTCTGCTTGAGGGCTTTCGGGGAATTATGGGGGCTGGGTTAATACCCTTAGGAGCAAACTACAGCCTGTGGGGGACAGCAGTCACTGGATAAGTGCCTGTTGTCTGGTGGGACAAATGAAATGTGTTCTACAAGGTGCCCCCATGGGACTGAGCCCCAGTTGCTCACAGTGGCTATCACTCCATGAGCACGTTTTTGATTTTCCCCTGCCCTGTCTCATTCTCCCCACTCCCTAACTCCTGCCTCCTGGGATCACATCCCAAATAAACCACCTCACTTCAGTGCTGAAGTTAAAGCCCCCCCCGTTGGTAATCTCTGTGTCTGCTGCTGTGTTTTTCACTCTTCTAAGGCACAGGGTCAGTGCCTCTCAACCTGTCTGTTAAAAGAATCTCCTGATCTAAGAAAATTGCTATAAAGGACTTAAGGGGCTTGGAATAACTTGGAATATGGATTGTGGGTTAATAATAGACTTGAATTGAGTTTTTAAATTTCCTGATTCCAATAACTGTAGTTGTATAAGATCTGTACTTTTGATCTTAAGAACTATACACTGAAGTATTTAGGAATTAAAAGTATCATGTCTACAGCTTACTCTCAAATGGTTCCAAATTATGTGCACATATATATTAGTGAGAGTGTGAATGGTGAAGCCCATGGGGTAAAATGTTAACATTTTATGTGAATGTGGGTAAAGGGTATATGGGGGTTTGTTGTACTCGTCTTAAAGCTTTTCAGTAATTTGAAACAAAACAAAAAGTTACAAAAAAAGACAATGGTCATATCACTGGTCATTCCTCTTTGGGCACCAGAGATCTTCACACAGAGGATACATTTTTACAAGAGGTTTGAGAAGAGTAAAGCCTGCATCTTCTGAGACTTTATAAATCTCTCATGCATACCTTCTTCGCAGATTTAACAATCAATTTAAATTAAATTTCTGACCTTTGAAATAATAACATCTGCTCTCCCTTACAGATCCTGATCTCCACCCTATTGGGAGTGATGGGTCACTAGAATATGTTCCTGTCTTGGGTCACAAGCTCAGTGGTCCCAAAGGGGCGACCAGGTGCATGAGGTGGCCCAGTGGGGCCTTGGGGAATTCTGGGAAACTCACAGTACCTGATGAGGATGAGGAGCCAGCCACACCCTCAAATTCCCAGCACTCCTGCTCAGCTCCCTCCCTCAAATAGTGACATCCTAGGTGTAAGTGATGTAGAGGAATGACTAGAATTTTTTTTATAGTAGTAAGAGCGTTGTGATTGGACTTTTTGCGGGGGTGGGGTGGGGGGCACGCGCAGCACAGCTTGTGGGATCTTAAGTTCCCCGACCAGGGATCGAACCCGCAAGCTCGGCAATGAAAGCATGGAGTCTTAACCACTGGACCGCCAGGGAATTCCGTGATTAAATTTTAAAACAGAATCGATCTTCTGGAGATGGTCCATGAATTGCTGGTGAATAGAAAGATACAATGTCTAGAATTGACTTCAAAGTAGTAATCTAGGAAGAGGGGAGTGAGCACCTGGGAGCATTAAACGGGATTGGCCCTGAGTTGATAATATTTGGAGCCAGTGATGAGTTCACAAGGACTTGTAATGCTGTTCTTTCTCATTTTGTACAAGTTCAAAAATTATCAGAATGAAAGCTGAAAACAACAACAACAAAAGCCCCTCCAGTGCCCATCTTACTCATACTAGAAGTCCTCACTGTGGTCCACAAGGCCTCACCTGATCTGGCCCTACTGCCTCTCTCACCTTACCTCCTTCCATTCTCGCACTCCAACCACACTGGCTTTCCCACATGCCAGGCACACTTCTACCTCAGGGCCTTTGCACTTGCTGTCCCCTCTACCTAGAATGCTCTTCCTCCAGGCCTGTACTGTCCGGTATGGTATCTGGGAAGTACCTGTGACTTGAGCATTTGAAATGTGATTAGTGCAACTGGGGAATTTTTTTTAACTTTATAAATTTTAAGTAACTTAAAATTTTAAACTGTAGCAGTGTAAAATATTTTGTCATTAAACACAGCTGTATTGTTTTGGTAGCACTACATTTCATTTTATGCCTTGAAAATTAAGCATCTGAATTGAGATGTGCTATAAAGTATAAAACACATACCAGACTTCAAAGACTTAGTAAGAAAAAAGGATTGTAAAATACCTCATTATTTTTATATTGATTACGTATCGAAATGATAATATTTTGGATATGTTGCGTTAGAGTATAAATTAAATTAAAATTAATTCACCTGTTTCTACGGTTTTACTGTGACAGCTAGGAAATTTAAAATTGTATTTGTGGTTCACATTATATTTCTGTTGGACAGCACCCCTCTAGGAGTCCCCCTGGTTTGTGTTCTCACCGCAATTTGGTATCATGACTTAATGATAGCATAATGATATAATTGTGTCCCTGATTCTTTCTTCGACCATCCTAATTGTACCCCTCCCCCTTGGCCTCTGCCCACATTAGTTTTCTCCTTAGCACTTAACCACTCTCTGACCTGTTACCTATTTTACCTGTTTCTTTTACTTACTGTTGCTTTCTCCCACTAGAATGTCAGCTCCACAGGGACCAGGATTTTAGCCTGACTTATTCACGATCATAGCCCTGCTCTTTGACCAGGACCTGGTTCATAGCAGACTCAGTCAATATTAAATGAATGAATGAATGGCGTGGATTTGCTCCATTACCCAATCGGTTGGGTCAATATTGCCAAGACTCTGCCTGTCCCATTTGCTGGTAACCCCAGGATCACCATGCCTCCTCAGGGACAGGACCTGGCCTGGCATTTGAAACAGAACAGATCTACGTTTGCATCCTGACTTCTCCCCGAACTTGGAGTCACTCCCAGAATCTGCTGCTTCCTGCCCCCTTCCCTCAGTGTCCATCCCCCCTTCTGGTAACAGCTCCCTGATTTTTTTTGGAGAACAACTTCTCCCCCTGTTTTCAGTACACATGGTTCAGTCAAGGCTGACTGCAGCCCCCAGTGAAGTATGTGACACTGGCTTTGGGTCCTTGGCTGGAACTATAAGGGAAGAGTAACTCTCCTATTGGCTGCTAAATTGGTGGGATGTAGGCTTGGAGGTTTTGAGGGGCACTCTGGCGATCACTTGCATAAGAGTGAAGCCAAAACAGAGGAAAGAACTGAGCCTCTGGATCCAGCTGTGCTTATAGTCCTGAACTTTTCAGTTACCCACGAAAACAAATTCCCATTTCTTTTTAAATCAGTGCGGATTTGACTTCAGTCACTTGCTCCCTGTGTGGCCTCAGGCTGGTGGCTTCCCGTCTAGAGCCTCAGTTTCCCATTCTGTTAAGCGGGGCCACATCACCAGGTGGTTGTGAGAATTAAAGGAGAAGGGATCTGTCTTAGGTGCACATCCAGGAGCCTAGCACCGGGCTTCTGCCTCTGTTCTTGAGTCTGGTTCTGCTCTACCCCTTGTCCTGATACCTTAAGCTCTGGGGAGAGGATGAGCTTAGACACCTGGGGCTGGGGACTGGACTTCAGGACTGAGGCCTGGCAATTCAGCATGATGACCTGGGAGAAGGGGGCTTTCACAGTCGTGCATCAGTGATGGCCAGCCTGGGAGCCCACCACGTGGAGTGTTTGAACAGAGCACGTGGATGAATGCAGGTCAGGGGCTATAGCAAGTGCTGTCGGCAACCCAGCACCAACATCACCTGCACCCCTCCTGCACACCTGCACCCCTCCTCTAGCATCCTGTAGCAAGCACCTGTGCCTCTTTGCCTGAGGGTCGTTTACAGGCAGGAGAGGCTGGAAGTGCTGGGGAGTTAATATCTCTAGGAATAATCCTTAACCAATCAAAGATGGGAGCTGGTACATATATGCCACAACTTCTTCACCTCTTGGGTGGGACAACTTTGAGTGTGTCTCCCAGTCTCCCAGAGGTCCCTAGGGGGATGGCACTCAAAGTGCCCAGAGCAGCAACCAGCTCATTAACTCCTTTCCATGGCTCACTTCCCATTCCCCTATCCATTTGCCTGGGATCAACTCCCTAAAAAACTACCTGTGCTTGAATCTTTGTCTCAGGGTCTGGGGGAACCCAACCCAAGATGGGCTGATTCAGTTCCATGTTCTGTGCTCAAGGCAAAGGGATCTGTGGAGGGGGCTGTCCAGATGTACCAGGGCCATACCCAAGATTCTCAGTACTCAAGCACCCAATATCCCCACATGTCCTGCTATAGACTGAATGTCTGTGTCCCCTCAAAATTCATATGTTGAAATCCTAACCCCCAAAGTGATAGTATTAGGAGGTGAGGCCTTTGGGAGGTGATTAGGTCATGAGGATGGAGCCCTCATGAAAGGGATTAGTGCCCTTATAAAAGAGACCCCCCCAGAGGATTCTCTGCCCCTTCTTCTATGTGCGGATACAGTGAAAAGACAGCCGTCTATGAACCAGGAAGTGGGTCCTCATCAGACACTGAATCTACAGGCACCTTGATCTTGGACTTTACAACCTCCAGAACTGTGAAAAATCAATTTCTATTGTTTATAAGCCACCAGTCTATGTTATTTTGTTATAGCAGCCCGAACAGACTAAGACACATCCTTTGACAGTGACCATTTATTACATATGTCTGGACTGTGTAGTCAGGTTGGGGGAGGACCATTGACATAGCTGAGCACCAGGTAAGGTGTCCTGGCCAGTCGGGCAGGAGAGCAGCAGGAGCCCCCTGACATGGGCAGGAGCAATGTGGCACCCACCAGCAGAAGGAAAAGGAGGAGGAGGAGGAAGGTCAGGGGCCGCCTGGATGCAGGAGTGGGGGATCTGCAAAGGGAAATGCAGTGTTCAATGTATGGATGGGCTGCCACCATGAGCCCTACCCCGACACCCCCAGACCCATCTCCCAGGCATCTCACCCAGGGTCTACCTCCAGCATCACATCCTGGACATTGGGAGATGCTTGCCTCATCTTGTCCTAAAGGTAGAGAGCAGCCAGCAGTAGAATGGGTGGAAGTGATATTTAATGTGGTCTTTACCTTACTCCCACAGACCTACAGAGCTGGGCTTATTTCTCCTCCTTTCCTAGCACTCCCTCCATCCCCAAGACCCCACATGGACTTGGAATATCTCCAGGTATAGTGGATGTCTGTCAGTGCCTGCCCTCCAAACAGTCTCCCTTTTCCTGGTAACAGTGGTTCAATTTGGGGAGAAGGGTATCATACCTCCCTACTTTCCTGAACTCAAAACTCCACCTCCATGGTTAGGCATGTGACCCAGATCTGGCCAACCAGAGCCCTCCATCAGCTTGGCTACTGTGATTGGTTTAGGGTGTAGGCCATGACCCAAGCTGGGGAAGCAGAAGTCAGCCCTAGGACTTGGCTGCCGTAGGTCAGTGGCACTCTCTCCTCCTGGGGTGGGTAAGCCAGTGGGAAATGAGTGTGTAGCTGCTGGGGCAGCCATTTTGCTGAGAAGGAATCCACCCTGGAGAAGTAGAGCCCAAGACAGGGAGGGACTGAGAGCCCTGACAGTATTTGAGGTCTTGAATTCAACACCACCTGGACTTTTCAGTTACATGAAAAAAACAGCATCCTCTTTTTTGTGTGTAATTCAATTTGGGTTGGGTTGCTGTCACTTGCCATCAACATTCCTGAGTGATACACCTGGCCGAGGACCAACTCACCTGAGACTTCCGGAGCAGGGACCGTCTTCGGTGACCTGTTAAGTGTTTCCGGTGGCTGAGGCCTGACATGAGCATGTCCTGTGGGGAGAGAGAGGAGTGGGGTCCTTGGAGAATCAGTGACAAAGAGACACAAAGTTGGGGAAGGGCCAAGACGGGGTAAGTGTCACAGAGATTAGATTCTGGGGGAAGAGAGAGATCTCAGGGAGAGATGAAGAGAGGGGCAGAGCCAAAGAAACCAAGAAAAAAGAGACATTATTTATTCATTCATTCAACAAATATTTAATGAGCATCTGTTACATGCCAGGTGCTATTCTAGGAGGTGGGGACACTGTGAGCATGGAAACAGGCAAAGTCCTGGCGTCCATTGAGTTTATATTCTAGCAGGAGAGAGAGAGACCATAAGTTAATAAATGTATAATGTCAAGATGTGGTAAGTGCTGTTAGGAAATAAAATAGGATAAGGAGTGATAATGTTTGGAGGCCAGGGCAGGCCTCTCTGAAGAGGTAACATCTGAGGAGAGACTGGATGGAATGAAGTGAGGAGGTGAGCTCGGTGTGCCTCTGGGGGCTTTGAGATGGGAGTGTATTTGGAATATTTGAAGAGCCAGGAGGCTAGTGTGGCTGTGGTGGGGTAAGTGAGGGGGAAAGTGAGAGGAAATGAGGAAATATAGGTACAACAGAGACACCTGGAGGCCAAGAGAGGCAGAGGGACGAGGGAGGAGACCACTGAGACACCAAAAGCAAAAGAGACACCGGGAGAGACAGAGTCATGAAGACCTCCTCGAAAGGGAAAAAGGGCCCTGCTAGGAGACACACAGAGGGTCCCTTGGGTGCCTGGGGGGAGGTGACCCCACCTGCTCTCACCTCAAGGCTTTGTCCCCTGCCCTGGGGGCCCCTGCGGCCACACAGCTCACAGGGAGTCCCTGGTGTCCAGGCTGTCCTTTGCCCCAAAGGCCCGAGGCCCCCAACGTCCCCCGCCGGGTCCCACTCCAACTCTGCGGGAGTGGGGAGGCTACTGGGTGCCCAGGGCCCCCAGACCCCACCAGGTCCTGGCCCGTCTGAGTCCCCCTCGACCTCCAAGTCCTGCTCCAGTGTGCTGGCCTCCTCAAACACCTGGTCAGAGGACAGAGGTCATGAGGGTTGGGATCGGCGCCTGCCCCAGGGACCGCCAGGGTGGGCCATACCAGGCTGTAGCTGACCAGCTGGGCCTGCAGCCGCCACAGCTGCCGGAAGATGCTGTCTCGGTGGGCTCTGAAGGCCCTCAGGACCTGCTCCAGGGATGCCCGGGCCTGAGGCTCACTCCGCTGTGCCAGCCCCTCACCGAACACCAGCAGTGCATCTAAACGCTCAGCTGCCCCACGCAGGTCTGCCTGTAGGGCCTGGGTACACATGGTTGGACATCACCAACACCACACCAGCCCATCCCCACCCCCACCCCCCCACCCCCCCACCCCCGCCTCCATACACACACAGCAGGGGCACCAGAGACCTGAGACCTGGAGCACTATCCCCACCCCCTCTGCCGTCCAGACACCTGGAACATGGAATAAACCCATTTCCCACCCTGGGAAGCTGGCACCCACTCCTGAGGCCCTGCCCACCCTCCCACGTCTTGGCTTCCCACTGCTCACCTGCAGCTGGACCATCCTGCTCTGGGCTGATGCCCAGGGCCCCAGGCCTTGCTCCAGGTCCTGCAGCCGGAGGCCCAGCCCCAAAAGGCAAAAATGCAGGCTGTCCTGCTCAGCTTCTAATCCCCAGCCAGAGATGGGACGCTGGGGAACACAGGGGGCTGAGTCAGAGCCAGTGAGCCAACCAAGGCATGGCCCGCACCCACTGCACCCAGGCTCCTGCCTTCTGGGTGCTTCTCTGCAGCAGAGTCCCATCTCTGGGTCTGCCCCAGGGTTGCTCCCACCTAGAGAAACTTCCCAGTGGAGCCAGGCCTGAGAACCTCTAGTTCAAATTCTCCAGGTTTTCAAGGCTCCTAGAAACTTGTACGTATAGGGCCTGGGGCTCTGGAGAGGGAGAGGGTGATGGAGCTGGATAGCCCCACAAGGAATGGGGCTACACCAGGGCCAATGATGAAAGGATTCTCTCTCAGTTGGTAAAATACTGAATAGTGATAGTTAAAGAATCATTGTTTAGAGCATCCCTCCCCACACAGATGCCCAACACTTTTCCAGAATCATCACCTCATCCCCGGTGTGGAAGCCAGATCCTGGGAGACAGACAGGAGGTAGGGGCTGGCACAGGGGCCTAGTTCACCTCAGCTCACCTCACGGTGTTTGGCCCCAGCCGAGTCCTCATGAGAAGGGGGCGTTGGCAATCTGGGGAGGCCAGCAGCAGGCTCAGTGCCCCTCGGCCCACCCTGGAAGGGCTCGGGAGGGTCCAAGGAGTCCTGCCCCAGCTTCTGGGCCCGTTCTGACCTGGGATGGGGTGGGGGGGAGGTATTGACAGGCCCCTGGGTGAGCCTAGGTGTCCATTATCCACCCTACCCTACCCCTGTCCCCAGTTACCTCTCTCATGTCCCCAGGTGATCTTAGCTACAATACCTCCTACCCTCAAAAGGTCCCTGCTACTGCCTCCACCCTTTTGGGACCACAGTTTCAAAAGCCCCAGCTCGTACCTGATTCTCTCCTCTCCAGAGGCAGGGCAGATGGTGCATCCAGATGTGTTCAGTTCCCTAGGGGCTCCAGGCGGGTGGCTGAAGGGCTCTGAGGGGGGTGTAGGGCCCAGGCGTGGGGGCAGGGCCATACTGGGGAGCCTGAGGACAGAGAGTCAGTGAGTAGGAGCCCTTTTCCTATCCTCCCAGACTTCCTCAGTAGGACTCACCCAGGCCTGAGGCAGCCAGAAGCCCAGGGGCAGGCTCAGCTCCACCTCTTTCTAGGAGGAACCTGGACCCAGGTAATTTGATGCCCTGCTCAGGTGATAGTAGCACCGCTTAACTCCTTCCTCCCCAGCGGACCAGTAGCTGAACCTCCCAAGCTCACCCCACCCACCTAAGGGGTTTCCAGATATAACCCTGCCCCTCAAGAGCCCTGGGTTCTTCTCGACTCTGTGACCCGAACATCTGACCTCGAGAGCCCACACCATCCATCTAAGGTCCCAGACGCAGCGCCCTTCAGGAACCCAAACATCTGGCCCCCCACCCCCAAATGTCCAAAACCAGAGTAAGATTGTTTTGTTGGTGGTTTATTTGGAATGGGGCCTTTTCCTGTGGTTCCCTCACAGGTACTGGGAAAATAACCCGGGGGGAACCGCCTCTGCCCACAGGGCGCCAGCAGTCCACAGCAGGCGAGAGCTCGGGCATCCGAGCGGGTGCTGGGTCCTGGCGTCACTTGCTGAGCAGGAGGCCAGCGCGCAGCACGCGGGGTACGCGGCGGATGGTCAGCGAGACGCGGGTGCCGCGGATCAGGCGGGCTCCAGCCTGCGCCGAGGGGCAGGCGGCTGCGTTGCGCGGCAGGGAGGCGGCGTCGAGCGCGTCTACGCTGGCGGCTGCGATGCCGTGGAGGAGGCGCGTGTAGGCGGTGCCACGGAGCACCAGCAGGCTGCGCGGTTCAAGCAACAGCGAGGTGGCCGGCCGGGGCGGGGGCCGGGGCTGCGGGGCGGGTTGAAGGTTAGCGGGTCCCCAGAAGTTAGGGGTGGGCGAGAGGTCAGCGGGTTTGGGGGTTCAGGGGGCGAGGGTCAGCGAGCCCCAGGGGCAAAGGCTGAGGGGCAAGTGTGCTCCTAGGGATCGAGGCTTTGGAGTGAAAATCCCGCGGGGGCCAGGGCCAGGGCCAGGCTTCCAGGGAAGTGGAGACGGGGAGGTGGTGGGGTGTCAGCAGCCCCTCGGCAGGGACTAGGCTGCAGATGGCGGTGTCTAAGGGCCTAAGGGAACTGCAGCTGGGCTCTGCAAGGAGCTGGGGCTGGGACCGAGGGATCAGTGGTCCCAGGAAACTGAGTGGAACTGGGCTGAGGACTTGGCTGAAGCCAGGAAGGGAGGAAGAGATGAGCAGGTGTGGTCTGGGAGGATGTGCGGATATCAGGATGTTTTGAGGACACCAGCAGAGTGGGAGGGGGTGTCATTGCATCTAGGAGCATGTAGGATTACAAAGGGCAGCCGGAAGGAGCAGCTGGTGTCAGGGTGTCCAGGGGAGTTTCTGTGCACACTGGGGTGTCAGACATACAGCAAAGAAAGAGGTCAGGGAAGCTGCTGTCATGAGCAACCCAGAGGGGAGGCAGGATATCTGGGGGCCCTTGAGCAGCGAGTCATGTGTTGAGGTGCCAAGGAGAATCTGGGGGTGTCCTGCATGACAGATCACATTATTGGAGTGGGAGGTAGGAAGTCAGTGTTGGGGTGCCTGTGCAGTGGCCACTGAAAGTCAGGGTGTCTGGCAGGATGTCAGAGACAACCCTGAGTGGCTGGTGTTGGGGTATCTGAGGATATCAGTGTCTGTTGGAGAACTGGGGAGCCCTGCATGCGGTATTGGAGCGCTCTGAATGTATGGAGCCAGGGGATCGGTAGGATGTCAGGATATTTACTCAGCAGATGGGGGTACTGGGGTATCCGTGGATATCGTGATTTCTAGGGCACCCTGCAGGCAGATGGGCTGGGCATCTGGGCGGATGTGGGTGCCCTCCATGAGGGGACAGAGGAAGATTTCTGGAAGGGTATCGGGGTACCCCGCAGGCAGGTGGGATTGGGGCCTCTTAGAGGATATGGGGTGTCAGAGTGCCCACAAGCGGCTGGGGCAATGTCTCAGGGCCCACCTGCTCTGTAGGGTCATCATCCTCTGGCTGCCGAGGCTCGTAGAGGTCCAGCATGGTGTGGGAGCCCAAGCTGATGGTGCTGACAGTCGGGTAGTACAGTGGCCCATCCTCGTGGGGCTGGGGAGTGGGTACCAGGGCTGGACAGGGCAGGAGTCCACACCCCCCCACCCTCAGGTGAAAGCAGGGCTCCCCAGCTGGGGACAGGGAGGTGAGTGTTTGGTTGGGGTATGTGGCTGCTTAATGAGAGTGATGTGGGTCGACATGATGCCCTGCCCCATGGTGGATCCGAGGTCTGGGGGTCGGGGTGAGAGTGTGGTTACCATGATGCCCTCCCCAGGCAGATACTGGTTCACAAGGACGTGGTTGGCTGGGAGACCCCCAAAAAGGCTGAGGTCAGACACTTTGTCCACGTAACGCTGGAGCCACGGTGGCAGCCGCTCAGGAACCATCCCCCGGGGATGGGGGAGCCCACCTGGGGGAGGGAAATGGGGTGCTGAGGGCACCCAACAAGGAGCTCTGGCATGTGGAGCCCCCATTAGGGATATCCCAGTGGTTGGTAGCACTCTGACCTCCTCGGGGACCCCTAACTCTTTGGAGATCACCACTCCACCCTTCAAAGGTTTCCTGACTTCTCCAAACCCCTAGAGATACCCTCCAACTCATCAGGAAATCCCTAAGCCCTCAGGACCTCCACTGACCCCTGAGAATCCTCCTGGCCCTTAGGACCCCTTGAACCCTCAAGGACCTCCCCCCGGCACCCTGACGCCTCAATGTCCTAAGACTATCCAACCTGAGCTGCCTACCCCAGTCCCCAGCCCTAAATCACCCATGCCCACAGCCGGAGACACTTACCCCAGTTCTGTAACTTCCTCCCGGTGAGCTGGGTCCACTTTGGTTTTGGGGCATTGAAGACCTGGGAGGTGGGAAGGGGGTCAGTCCTTTTCCAGGACCACCCTCTCTGATTCTCCCACCCAGGCCAACATAGGGGTTTTCACCTAAGGTGGAAATAGGTCATCTCAGTGTCTGTGGGATCATTCTCTGAGACAGTGTTCCCAGGATTTTGTTCTTGCCCTTTCCCCCTGTGGAGGCCGCTGGCCTCAAAGCCCCTCTGTGTCTAGGGATTGAGGGAGGGAACCAGAGCTACACAAGCAGGGTCTGAATCTACTCAGAGCTCTGGGCTGGGTTGGGCTCTTTCAGCCCAGCAAACAGTCCGCACTCTGTAATTTCGTGATTCCTGGGCTATCTCAGCACAGTCTGAGTCCTGGAACCTCCTTGTTCCTCTTGCCTGGGGGAGAAAACGTGCTCAACTGGGGTATTCAGTATAGCCAAGAGAGTACGTTGAAAATTCTCCACTGCCAAGACCCCAAGCGTCTACAAAGGGTTATCTCAAAAAGTCTAAGAAATCTCCTTATTTCCTTCATTGTTATGGGGCTGGAAGCGGCTGTCTCAGTATGAGAGTCTGAGTTTTGGAACTATCTCATTCCTGGGACTCAAACTAGACAGGACTAGTTGGGATAGCACAGGGAAGATCTGTGCTCTATAACCAAGGCTCTGGGGCTGCAAAGGGCTATCCCAGCGCACAGACTCTGAGCTTTGTAAAATTCTCCTTTCCCCAGACCTTCAGAATAGAGTACAGACTGGGCTATCTAACACGGGTGGTCTGTGCTTGGTAACCCTGTTCCCAAGACTCTGGGTTTATGCTGAGCTATTAGCACGGGGAAGCGTTTAACATTCTGAGGCCTCGGTTATCTCAGCACAGAAATCTGAACACTGTAAATTCTTCATTCCCCAAATCTCAAGGGAGTGAACTGGGCTATCTCAGCCTATGTTATAACCTCCTTCTCTCTAAGGTAGCCGGATAGGGCTGTCTTAGCACAGGGAGTCTGAGCTCCATAATAACCACCACCTTTCTAAGAATCAGTTTGGGGAGTTCCCTGGTGGTCTAGTGGTTAGGATTCGGTACTTTCATTGCCATGGCCCAGGTTCAATCCCTAGGGGAATGAGATCCCACAAGCCGCGTGGCGTGGCCAAAAAAAAAAGAATCAGTTTGGTTTCCCCTAAGCTTCCTGGGAAAAGCCCTTTCTGACAGGCCCCAGCAGGTGCTGAGAAAGGAATAGGGAAGGTGGTGAGGGATGGGTGCCAGGTGGCACTCTCCCTCCTCCCAGAATCCTCACTGTGAACTTTCGGGCTCTCCCACGAGAACTGGGGGTTGAAGAGTGTTCTGGGAAGAGGGGATAAACAGGTCACCTGTCGAAGCAAATACTCCTCCTCTTCCTTGGAGATGAAGTCAGGGACATAGTAGATTACAGGTGGTGCCTAGGATAGAGAGATCCCCCCTGAAGGTGTGACCTTTGGACCCACACAGGAATGCTGCCATCCATGAGCAGCCCCTCCTCTGGAGCGGAGCTCAGGATGTCCCCAGACAGGCCAGGGCCTTAAGTCGAGGGACCAATGGCTATTTGGGGGATGGGGAGGTGGGGGTGAGGGTAGGGCTAGACCCTGAGGGTAAGGATGAATTGAGACGGGGGGGGGGGCAGTCCCAGCCCACAAACCCAGGAGTCAGCCTGCCTATCCCCACTCTATCTCCCGCCCTCTAGTTCCCACCTTCACCCTCTGCACCCCCGGTCCTGACAACCTGCTCCACCCTGAATGGTTCCAGAGCTGGAACCCTGGCGTCCTGATCCTCCATTGACATCAAGTCCGTGTACCCGGTCATTCCTGTGGGGAGGGGAGAACATGCTGAAATCACCAAGCCTCCCACCCGCAGACTGTGATCCAGCTTTCTGGCCTCATCATGGGCCAGGGCCTCACCTCAGCCCTCTAGTGAAACTCACTTGGTTTCGAAAACCTAGATGTCCTCAGTATCTCAAAAGCCACACAATGCACCCCTAGGCTCCCTGCCCAGACACAATGAGCACCCACAGTACTCCCCTCAGACTCCATCCACCAAATACCCATCAAACTACGCATGTCTGCCCTCTCAAGCCTCTACAGAGAACAACCTCAGACTCCACTGGGAGCCCTTCTTAAGAGCTCCACACACATCCCCCAGGGCTGCACCCCAGACCCCCTTTAAACACCTTGATTTGAGACCTCATCCTAAAAACTTCAGACCTGCAATCCCGAGCCCGGCTCTCTAACAATATTCGAGGTCCTCATAGACCCTCCTCCCGCCTCAAGCCTTTTCAGACGCCCCATTCTGAGCACGCTTGTGCCCCCAATCTAAGCTTCCTCAGACACATCCATTTTCAGTCTCCTTGTATCCTCCCCACTCTAGACTCCCCTCAGACTTCTCTTCCCGAGCGCCCCTTTCCTGCAGCCCCCTTGGACCTTTGACCCTGAGCCTGACCCCTCTCACACCTTCCCTCCCTGAACCCCTTGGTTCCCCCGACTCTGTCTTCTAGAACCCCACAATTTTAGCTTCCTCGGACTCCCATCTGAGCTTCCCCGGATCCCCACTCTCAGCCCTCTTGGACCCCCATCTCCGCCCTCGGCGCCCCAAACTGACCGTCCACCAGTGACCCCTCCAAAATCCAAATTCAACACCCCCATTCCCTTCCCAGCCACTTCCTACCCACATGGCCGACGCAGGAATTCTCAGACCAATGGGAATTCTCAAAGGCTCTAAGGCGCCTCCTTCCACCCAATCGGCGCTCTCACACACTGTTGTTCCGCCCCCTCGCCCTCCTTCGGTGACAGGCTGTGCCTCCCGGCCTCTGAGCCACTGGGGCTCCTTCAGAGACGGGTCTTCGTCTGGCATCGACCAATTAGAGCTCCAGAATCGAACCTGTCCACGCTGCGGAGAGCCCAGAAAGGAGGGGCAGCCGTGGCGGCACAGGAAAAACGCGATGGTTGGAAGGACTCCCCGCAGGTTAGGCCATCCTATACAAAGCCGCAGGGATGCGAGATTGCTGTACCCAGCAAGGGTACGGAGGCAGGGCGGTAAACTCCCTAAACACCGACCCGACACAGAGAGCCGTAGAAACGTCTTTATTGAAGGGGGTAGGGGTCATGCTGAGTTTGGGGACATGCAGTGAAGGGGCAGTCGTGAGCTGTCCTTGGTTTTCAGGGCCCCAGGTCTGCCCTGGACCCCTGGGCCTTCAGGGTCTCCGTCGGGCTGTTAGTCTGGCCAGGGTGGTCTGAGGTCCTTCAGGGCCAGTAACTTAGATTTGGTGTTTTGGACCTGTGACCAGAATGTAGATTGAAATGGGGACTCCAGGATTTGGGATCCCCTCAAGGCCTTGATGTCCCTCATGTATGAGATGGAGGCTTGAGGATTTGGGGTTCCCTTGGGGCTGGGGCTCTTGGAATTTGGGTGTCTTGAGATCCATGGGCTCAGGGCATTGAAGTCCTCTGGTTTCCAGGGATGAGAATTCCTGTTTGGGGTTTCTGGTGCCTATGAATAGGGCTTGAGGTGCCCTGGGGGCCCAGGATGCATATCTCCTCCATCCCAGGCACAAGAACCTCCATGATTGAGGTTTCCTGGGGGCTTGGGATTGGATTTTTTTAATTTGGGATTCCCTGGGGATTTGGGGATTCCATGATTTGGGGATCCTGGGAGTTAGGGCTTTGGGGTCTCCTAGGGGCTCTAGGACTTGGGGGCACAGGGGAGTTTAGGACATGTACTCTGGGGTTTGGGATCCTCAGAGTCCCAGAATGGGACCTCCAAATTTTGGGGTCCCCCCAAAGGGGGAAATAATTACTTTAAAAATAGAGAATTTTCTGGGAGCCTGGCCAGCACAGGTGCTGTGGGCCGCATGGGGTGGGCTTCGTACAAGGCACTGGGGGTTCCTTGAGGGTGCAGAGGATAGGAAGACTTGGGGGTCCTGTAATTAGCACTTCCAGTACTGTTTTGGTATCTGTAAATTGGGGGTGACAGTGGGCTGGTTAATGTGAGTCTCTTCTTGAGGGGTAAGAGCAGGGGAGTTCGTTAATGGAGGGAGTCTCTGATTGCAGTGTAGGGGGTTTGGGGTGACCACGGAGGTCACAACATCTTGAGGGGACTGATATTAAATGTGGGTTTGTTACTCTTGCTTTGGAGGTGTTTCTTTCAAGGGGACTTGATGGTGGAGGGGGGGGTCTTTGTTAACAGGGGAGGGTTCTGATCCAGTGACTAGTGACTCAGGAATGTTCTGCTGTGGAGCATTATGTAGAGAAAGTCACCGTCATTTGGGGTGATGTGGAAATCTGTTATTGTGGGAGTCTCCTCTGAGGGGTTGGGACTAGCCTGAAGGTACTACACTTAGGGAATCTCTTTCTGGGTAACATAGGGTCTGTATTTGGGGGGTTATCATGAGGGAGTCTGTTAATAATGGGGCCTCAGTGATCGAGGGCTGGCTAATGGGGGTCTCTATTCTGTATGTGTTACTGGGAATCTCTATCTCAGGGTGACTCGGGGGCTCCTTGTGTCAGGAGATGCTAGAGGAGGCTCTGTGTCTCTCTCAGATGTCCAGAGCCTCTAAGACTGCATCTCCGCCCTCAGCATCCAGGGAAACCAGCAACAGAAGAGCAACCTGGGGAAGAGAACTGTGTCACACGCTGGTGCAGGATGCGGGAGCATCTGGATCCATCACCGCCCAGCTCTTCCCCGAGTGTCTGGGATTTGGCCTTTCTGGATTCTGCCTCTGTCTCTCCAGCTGTGCCCTCTCAGGCTCCCGTGGAGCCGAAGGTGTTCTGCCTCTTTTACCTGCCCCTTAAAAGTTGAAGTCACCAGGGATTTCCCTGGTGGTCCAGTGGTTAAGACTCTGTGCTCACAACACAGGGGGCGCAGGTTCGATCCCTGGTCAGGGAACTAGATCCCGCATGCCGCAGTGAAGATCCCGTATGCCACAACTAAGACCCGGCGCAGCCAAATATATATATATATAAAAGTTGAAGTCACCAGAATTCACTATGGGGCCTCACTCCCTAAAGACTGCTTCTGGGTAAGCTAACTAGTCGTATGTTTTCCTAACTTCTATTTCCAGCCCCAACCCAGAACTCCAGACTCCCTGTGTCCAATGGCCTGGTGGATGCCTCTCCCTGAATATCCCACAGGAGAGGGGGACCAAGGGTTGCTACGTACCTGGAGATGGAGTTCTCTGATGCGATGTCCTTTGGGGTCCGGACTGTTGTGAAGGTGCGTTTGGGCTGCGTCACTGAAGGGAAGGGCAAGGTCTCAGGTGAGGGGATGATAGACCGACCTCTGTCCTCAATATCTACCCAGACTCTTTTTCATTAATATTTATCCACGTCCCCAATATCCTACATTCCCAATAGCCATCTAGACCTCTTGTCAATAATATTCCCTGTGTCCTCCAAGACCTACCCATGTGTCCGGTGCCTGCTCAGAGCCTTGTCGTTAACATCCCCATCCCTATAGTGCCCATCCTTTTTGGGATCCTGTCTCATCATTTTCCTGGACCCTGTGTCCCCAGTTAAATACTGGAGATTCTGTCACCAGCATATACCTGAGGACCCAAGACCTTTCTTCCTATCCCCAAATCCACACTCCTCCCACAGCCAGCCCCCAACTCACTTGTCACTTGATGTACTTTTTTGGCTCCGACATTATCCCCAGGGGGGTCAGTGGATCCACCAATCCTGGGGAGACACGAGGAGTGGGAGGAGTCAGAGCCACAAGAGGCCAGGGTCTGACCAGGAGCGGAGCCCCGGGGGGCCTACGACGAAAGAGCTAGGGTGTGGGGGTGGATATCCACACTGTCCTCCTGGTCCAAGAGGAGGAGACATCCAAGCAGGGGATCAGGATTCTGGGTGGTGCCCTGAGTTGTGACCAGAGTTTGGGCTCACCTCTGAATTCGAGATGCTGGTGCAAAGACTCCATGCCGTGGGGGGCAGGTGAAGTACCGGACACCAAAGACAGAGCCATCGTGTTTGCCGGTGGGCTGGTCTAGCTCTATGCCGTACCAGTAACCTGCAACGGGAGAGTGTCAGGATGCCTCAAGGCCCTGCCTGCCCCCAGCCCAGATAGCTATCCTCACCTGGGGCAAAGTCTGTCTTCCCATAGAAACGCACGATCCCTTGCTTCTGGCCTGCGACGAGGACTTGGTCTCCAACCTCAGCCTTAGCTCCTTCACGCTGCTGCAGGCTGCCCAGAGATGGGGATGATGAGGGCTTCTTCTTACCTGGCGGGAAGGGGACAAGGGGTGAGGGTGAGGCCTCCAGATGCCAGCCCTGGGGGCCCCGTGTCACCCAGAAAGCCACAAGGTAGAAACTATCCTGGTTCAAATGAGATGAGCCTTCCCCTGAAATGGGGTTGGGGGGTGGGCTTGAAAGGAAACAATCCCAGCTGCCAGAGAATGGGGGTGGGGGCTTTGGACCTGAGGGACAACTAAGTCAAGAACCTACAGAACCTCAAAACTCTTTCTCAAAGTTGAAGATATTTGGGCCAAGGGAAAAACTGAGTCTCAGAAGTCAGAAACCCAGAAACTGTCCTTTTAAAATGAAGGGGGGAGTTAGGTCTGAGGATAAATCAAGTCACTAAAGCCAGGAACCCCATAGATTCTTCCCTAAAACTGGGAGAAAACCTTTGGGTCTAAGGGGAAACTAAGTCATAGGGGGCAGGGAACACACAGGTCCTTGCAAGAACTGGGTGGGACCAGTACTGAGTCAAAGGAGAAACGGAGGCACAAAAGTCAGGAACTCAGAGGTCATCCTCTAAAATGGGAGTTTGAGCCTGAGGAGAAACTGAGTCACAGAAGCTGGGCTATCCACAGAATATCCTCAAGAATGGCTCTCGTCACTCCTAGGGCTCCCCCTCTGACCTTTGTGTTCCCTGCGGCCTTTGCCTGTGACACGGGAGAAGTCCATCCGGGGAGTCCGCGGTGTGGAGGTGACAGATGAGGGAGGTGCATCCACTGCCTTGGAGATCTTGGACACAGAGGCAAAGAGACCTGGGGGGACAGAGCCTGGGCTGGGAGTTGTCCAAGCCTCTGCCCTCTGACCCCCCTCATCACCTCCCAACCCCAGCACTCAGCAGCAGAACTACTGAGTGGACCCCACCATCACCTTCTGGGCCCCAGTGGGACTGACCCTGCTTGGGAGGGCAGATGAAGTACCGGACACCCCCAACACTGCCATCATTCTTGCCCTCAGGTTCATCCAGTTCCACGCCCACCCACTGGCCGCTGGCGAACTCCGTGGTACCGCAGAACCGCAGTGTGCCCGTCTGAGGAAACAAGGGAGGATATGGCTTGGGTGCACCTTGAGAGGCCATGATAAGATCACCGGCACACAGGCAGCATGGTGGGATGGATGAGGGAGCCCCAGGCTTAAATCTCAGCTTGGACATCACCATTCACTGGTTGTATAACTTAACTGTGCCTCGATGTCCTCATCTGCGAAATGGGAACAGAAATCTCACCCACCTTACAGGATTGTTACAGAGCTGCGCTGTCCAACGCAGTAAACGGCCACTAGCCACATATGACAATTTAAATTAACTAAAATTAAATTAAAATATCATTTCTCCAATCACACTAGCCACATTTCAAGTGCTTAATATCCACATGTGGCTCATGGCTAGCTCACTGGACTACACAGACGCAGAACATTTCCAATCTCACGGAAAGGTCTACTGGACATGAATGCTACAGAGACATAAAAGCCCTCAGAACAGGGCCTGGTGCCGAGTAAGGGATCAGTAAGTGTTGCCTATTATTATCCTATAACTTTGGTAAAGGGACCTCACGGGGCCTCAGTTTCATTTGGAAAATGGGGATAACAGTCCACCTCAGAGGCTGGTTATCCGGTGGAAACATTTTTAATATATGTGAAGTTGCTCAGCTGCAGCGAGTGTGGTTATTATCATTTGTGTGAGGCTTCTTCACTGCCCCGAGCCTCAGTTCCTTGTCTGTAAAATGGGCTAAATAATAGTGCCTACTTTGGAGAGTTGGTGTGGGGATCAGAACAGTGCCTGGCGCACAGAGCCAAGCCCTATTCTAAGGGCTTTACACATTTTGTGCTGTTCAGCAGAAACTAACACAACATTGTAAATCAACTATATGCCAATACAAATTAATTTTAAAAAATAAAATAAAATAAAATAAAGCTCAGACAACCCCCCTCAAGTGGGTACTATCAGCTCCATTTTACAGATGAAGAAACTGATGCCCAGAGAGGTGAAATCACTGGCCCCACAGCTGGTAAGTGGCAAAGCTGAGATCTGCCTGAGCAAATCCCTGAGCCTGAGTTCATGACCACTGTGCTGGGCTGCTTCTCTACAGGCAGAGATTGTTATTACATGTCTTCAGACTAAGAGTTTCACCTCTTGGGCTTCTTACAGTCTTCTGTATTGTAAAATGGAGAGAATCAACCCATCCTGCTTTCAAAATTGTCACACTGATTTGATTAAATCATGTACAGAAACTTTCCAGATGGGGCGGATGCATGCAAAACTCTTGATTATGAAACAAAATGTGACTTTTATGGCTTCTCACTGTACAAAGAAACAAAATTCAAATTCACTCCAGTGGCCTGCAGGTCTGGTGAGATCCAGCCCCTTCTAATGTCTCCACTTCACCCTCCCTGGATAACTCCCCTCCAGTCACACTACCCCTCCCCTCCTCTGGGACTTTGTACCTGCGGTCTCCTCTGTCTCCATATTTTTGCAAGGTGAGCTCCTTCCCCTCTCAGCTCAGATATCACCTCCTCAGAGAAGCCTTCTCAGAAGACCTTAGCTAAAACCACCTCGGCCCTCAGCTAGGGCCAATTTATTAAATCCAAGCATTTAATGGTTTTCAAAGCCTTTGTTGCTACTGGAAATTATCTCAACTATGGGTATACTTTATTGACTGTCTCTTCCTCAATAGAAATGGAGTTCTATGAGAGCAGGGCTGGGGCTAACACAGGCCTTTATCCCCAAGGATAGGCTGGGTCCAGCATGGAGCCTGAGGGACACCAGGTAAATGAATCAAACTTGGAATGATTGGATGAATAAAGATCTCTCTGTCCTCTGGGACTTTATACCTGCTTCCCCTCCCTAGGGCCCCCTTCTCCCTTTCTTCTCCTGGCTCATTCCTCAGCATCTTCAAGTGAGCAAAGTATTGACCACTCTGGGAACACAAGTGGCCCCTGGATGGGAACCACAAGGCCCAGGGGGACCCAAATGGGGCAGAGTTGTGCTGATCACTCTGCATGTGCTTCCTCGTGAGCCATGACAGCTCTGGGCTGTCACTGTCAGGAGGTGGATCTGTCTTCCCCCTTGGACTGAGAGCTCAGCTTGGGTGGGGCACAAAGGAGGCATTCACAGAACAACTGTTAGACAAAATGAATACTGTGTGCATGACTGGGAGGGTGGGCAGGCAAAGGGGAGAGTCTGCACTCTGCCCAAAGACCCAGCTCTGAGGGATAAGGGCTGAGTCCTGCCCGCCCTTCCCTGCTCCAGTCCCTGACCTTCTGGCCATCCAGTAGCACGCGGTCTCCCAGGCGCAGGCCCAGTGCACTGAGCATGAGATTGCCTGGGACGTTGTCATAGTTGGGTAGCGTAACCTTGGGGAGGGCGCAGGAGAGCGGCACAGCCTCCTCCAGTAGCGTCCGCAGCTCCTTGGCCACCAACGCCGCCTCTGCCTTGTCCAGGGACATGTCCATGGGGTCTGGGACCACCTCCGCTGGCACCTGTCCCTTTCGGTTCTGGGGGCCAACAGGAAGAGAGGGAGCAAAGACTCAGAGGCATAGGCTGCACTCCCACTGAGCCCATGCCCCCAGAGACCCCGGGTCGAGGTGAGGCAGAGGTGGGAGTAGGTCATACCCTGGGCCAACTTGGAAAGAGGAAGGGGTGGGGCATTAAGGTACAGCCCACGATCCCCAGGGAAGTCCACCCCTGAGACCTCAGGCTGGGGATGTCAAGTATGGAGCCAATAGGGAATGAAGGTCCCACTTCAGTGCTGTAGGTCATGCCCTCAGGGCCAAGACCCCAAGCCCGGAATGGGGCCATGTGAAGGACAAACACTGAAAATGGGCTCCTGTGGTACCGGGTTAAGGATCCAACTGGGCCAATGGGGAATGAGAGCTTCAAGAAACTCAAGTGGTCCTGCCCCGCCCCCTCCCCCGCTCCCATCGTCTGCAGAGGCCTGCTGGCCAGAAAGCGGTTGGGGAGGAAGGAGAAGGAAGGTAACAGGACTGGGCCAGGGTGGCAGTACCCGAAGCGCCGGGTTGGCACCGTGTTCCAGCAAACATTTGGCCGCGCCCAGGCACAGGTTGGAGGCAGCGATGTGCAGGGCTGAGCCATGGTTGAAGTCACTGCACGTGGAGTTCACCACTGGGAAGTGGGTGAGAGGAGGGTTCCGGGTGAGCGCCCTCAGCACCCCAGCCCTCCCGCTGCCTTCCAGCCTCCGAAGTCCACCTCTTCATCCATCTCTTAACCCGCAGGCCCCAGCCCGCCCCCCCACCCCCACCCCCGCCACGGCAGCCTCTGACACAGAGCCCCGCCCCTCCTCGGCCACCCCCCTCCCAACCAGCTCCCGCCAGGCCCTGACGTTTTGGACCCCTGAACTCCTTCTCCCGCACCTCCCGCCTCCCGCCTCCCACCCTGGCCTCCCATGCCAGGCCCCATCAGTCACCTTCCCCGACTTCTCACTCGTCTCCTCCCCCCACACCTGGGTACCCTCCTTCTGCTTCCAGCCCCCCTTCCTCGCCTAGGTCCTGCCCCTCCCAGCCCGGCCCTTCCTCCTCACCTCGGGGCCGTGCACCCTTCAGTAGCACGCGCACGAGATCCGGCACGTCAAAATAGGCCGCGTAGTGAAGCGCGTTCATGTTGGTCCAGCGGCTGCGCAGGGTCACGTCTGCGCCCAGTGCCAGAAGCTGCTGCGAGAGGCGTACAGCCGCCGCGGGGTCCCCTGCGCGACAGCCCGGGTCAGCGTGGGTTCCCTCCTCCAGAGGGTGGGCCCAGGGCGTGGGGAAGGCCCAGGGATTTAGGGACGGCACTTTGGGATCTTAGGCTGTGGGGTCCAGGATGGAGGTCTGAGGGCCGGGGTTCTGAGAGTGTTGGGCGTGGCAGTTAGGTTTGGGGGTTTGGACCCTCACCTACTCCGTGGGCCCCCGCCTTGCACGCATAATGGAGCAGTGTCATGTCGGTCAGCCCATCACGATCATTCACGTGGCAGCCTCGACGCAGAATCTGGGAGTACCAGGGGACCAGGGAGGGTTACCCAAACACGTGAGGATCCCCTTCCTCTCCTCCCTCGCTTCCCCAGCACTCTCACCTCATTGCCAATGACATCAATCTTGTGCTGGACTTGGGGCACCCACTGGCGCACAATGGCGAACAGCTCAGGGATGGTGGTCTGCGGGTCAAACAGAATCTCCTGGCAGGCAGGGTCGTTGGGGTCGAAGAAGGTGAAGGCTGGGGTGGTGAGAGGTCCAAGATCACCCCAGGCAAACTGTGGACTGACCCCCTCTCCTTCCATCCTAAGGCAGAGGAGCTCTAGACCTTTAAAACCTTCTAATACAGAGTCTCAAACTGGTGGCACATGGGCCACAGGCATTTTCTGTGTGGCCAGCGTGAGGTTTCAAAATCAGGTCTCACATAAAAAGGTGGGTGCCGGGTGTGTCTTGAAAAATTGCAAGATCATATAGCAGCAAACTCCACCCCATGAAACAAGAGTGTGGTAAGGAGTCTGCATGCCCAAGGGGGCTGCTACTGCTCTAGCACATGTTGCCCTGTCAGGGCATGCTTTAGCCAAATCTCCAGGGTAAAGGAAATTAAAAAGCCAGAAGTCACGGTTTTTAAGAAAAATCTCCCCAAATTTCAATTACTGTGCAGTCCACATAAAATGGAACCATGGGCAGGATCCAACCTGTGGCCAGCCAGGGGGTACCCAGAGGAACTTCCATCTCCCCCCTTTAGAGTGTTGCCCTGTAGTAACGTCAGCACCCAGCACAGGGCTGGCACAAGGCAGGAGCCCAGTGCATGTTGAATGGATGAGCAAACGAATGACCAGATGACACAGAGCCCAGGGACGTACCGCATAGAAGGTGTCTCCCGGAAGCAGCCTGTGTGCTCTTTTTAAAACCCCAGTCACAGCACAGCTCTCCTTGGCTAAGCCTGCCCTGGCTCCCATCACACTCAGAGTACAGACCCAAATCCTCAGCCTGGCCCACAGGCCCTGCACAAACTGGCCTCATCTGTTCTCTGCCCTCTCCCCCTCACTCGTTCCTCTCCAGCCACACTAACCTCCTTCTGTCCTTCCAACTCGCCAGGCAAATTCCTCTCTCAGGGCTTTGTGCTTGCTGTTTTTCTTGCCTGGGCCCGTCTTCCCTGAGATCTTCCTAAGGCTTCAGAGAGGCCTCCCCAGACCACCCTGGCTAAATCAGCACCTCTGCCCTTCTTTATCTCTTGCCCTTTTTCATTTCTTTAAAAATATCACTACTTGGGGACTTCCCTGGTGGTCCAGCGGTTAAGACACTGTGCTTCCTATGAAGGGGGCCCGGGTTCGATCCCTGGTCAGGGAACTAAGATCCCCATATGCCACGCAGCGTGGCCAAAAGAAGAAAAAAATCACTACTTAACATTACTTGTTTACTCCTTCCTCCCTCCCTCTTTTCCTCTCTTTCTCTTCTTCCTCATTCTCTTCCTTTCTTGCTTGTCCCCCTCACTAGGACGTTTCCAGGCTGCCTTGTTCACTCCCTTATCCATGCAGGAGGCGCTCTGTCAGTCTAGCTGAATTAATGTACAAATTTAATAAATACACGAGTTCCTCTTGGAGTCCACCTTAGCCCTCTCTCTGTCCTAGACTACATTTTCAGATTTCTTCACATTCTGTGACCAAACCCTCCTTGTTCTACAGGCAGGATTCCTGGGGACGGGGGGCAGATACCCTAGACTCTTTGAGTTCCCAGCAGGCCACAGGTCCCAGCCACATCCAGCCACATTTTCAGTGGAGATTTTCCAGTTTCCCAGGGTGGATACCCGGCCCTAGACACCCAGATAACGTTCTTATTTTTCTATCAGACTGAGGGCAACTTATGGCCTCTCTGACCCACCTCTAGTGGGTGACATGTCCACAGATGCCACCCCTCCTGCCCTATCCTGATGACACCTACTCTCTGAACTTGGAACCTCATTTCTGAACTTACAGCTGCCGGGGATTCCCAGCCAACATCTTTTAAAAGCCTCCTCCTATATCTAATTCTGGCTGAGCTCCACCCTCTCTACCCAGTAACCAGAGGGAGCTTTTAAAAATATAAATCAGACCTGCCCCCCCACAAACTGCTCTCCCCCGCCATCACACTTAGAATATATCCAAAGTTCTCACAGTAGCCTTTAAGGCCCTTCCAGATCTAGCCATTGCCAACCTCTCATCTCAGCTCCAATCACTCCCTAACAGCAACACCAAGATTTTGCTTCTGCTCCAAGCTCAGTCCTGCCTCAGGGTTTTTGCACTTGCTGCTTACAGCCTGGAACACTCTTTCTCCAGCTCTCCTATGGCTGATTCCTCCTCATGCTTTGGGTCTCAGCCTAAATGCCACCTCGTCAAAGACCCACCCTGACCACTCTGTCTCAAGGTGCTGCCCCCTAGCCATTCTCTATTATATCTCCATCTTTTATTTCTTTCATAGCATCCACTCCAATCTGAACTTATCCGATTTATATACCTGTTACTTGCTTAGTCTTGCCTTCTCTCCTGAGAGCAGGGATCATGCCTGGATTGCTCACCATTAAATCTCCATCTCCTAGCACAAGGCTTGTCACAGAGTAGTAGTGATGGATAAACAGTGCTTGGTGAATGAGTAGACACTTTCCTTTTCTCCAAGAGGCCACCCTCTCAGCTCCACATCTTCCTACCTCAGAGCCTTTACTCCTGCGGTTACCTTGCCTGGGACCCCCTTCCCCTAATCTTTTCCCTTGTTAACCCTCAATTCATCCTTGAGTCTCCCTCAAATGTTCCTTCCTCAGGGAAAGCATATCTTAAAAAGCTCTTGCAGAATTCGGTTCTTCGCAAACACAATTCTCATCAAGTCTTGTAATTATGTACTTATATTTTTATACTTATTTGTGTGGTTGTCATTGAGGCCTGTGAGTTCTCTTAGGCAAAGACTAGATCTGTCTTGCTCCATGCTGTGCCTCCAGTTCCTAGGTCCATAGCAGGCTTTCCAAAAATGCTTGTTTAATGACTAAATGACTGAATGATGTGTCATGAATCAAATATTATGATTATCCCAATTCCATTCTCCAATGGGTGAATGAATTAATGAAGGGGGGGGGAATCCAAGGGCCACGACTCCTCCAGAACACCTTCAAATCCTCCAGATTCCTCCCACCATCTCCACCAGCAGAGTTCAGCCAAACCTCCCTGGCAACCCAAGGCTCCAGGCCATATTGCTGAGTGGGGAGGGTGGTTACCGTAGTCCTTGGGGAGGGGGGCAGGTGCCGAGGGGTGCACAACAGGCTTCTGCCGGCGCTCCTGGGTGGGGCTGGGGGGCTCTGGGACAGGCTCGTCCTCCTCCTCCTCCTCTTCTCCCTCCGCCCTGAGCGGCGGGGCCATCGGGGCGGGATCTGTCTTAGTCATGGTCCTTGGTGGCCCTCAGTGGGCAGGTGCAGAGTTGGAGGTGGCCTTCAGGCAAATCCTGGGGGCAGAGGTCAGCTAGAGAGGGTGCCCCAGTCTCCGGAATCTGAGCCCCCCAGACGCTCACCGGGCTCCGGGTGGCTCCCACGCCCCCAGCTCTGGATTTTGGGCAATCATAGGGACCCCAGTCACCCATCAGAGGACGCTGGTTTGTGGGCCCAACGCCTACCACTTCCCCCAGGCCAGTCCCCCATTCTTCTCCTCCCGCGTCAGGGCCCTCAGTCTAGGCCGCCCCCTCCCCCGGTTTGTTTATCTCAGGATGCAGGATGCTTTGCCCCTCCCCTTCTCCGCGGGCCTCCCCTCTACCCATCTTACCTCGGGTGTCTGGGGCTGGAGACCAAAGCTGAAACCGGGGAAACTGGAGTAATGGGGTGCCAGTGTCTGGGGAAGTGATGGGGTAGAAGAAGACAGAGAGAAGGGGACGAGGCCCGGTCGCCGACGGGGTATGGGGGTGGAGAGGGAGGGGCGCTGACGGCGCATGCGCTGTCACCCCCAACCAGGCGCGGGGGCGGAGACACTGCGAGGCTGCTTGCATTGATGAAAAGGCTGGAGGCAGCGGTGGGAAGGGTATAGACACCGAGGACGGGGAGTAGAAGAAATGGCCACGAAGAAGGATGTGAGACATGGAGACAGGAGAGAGATGAAGCAGGGACAAGGGCAAAAAGAGAGGGATGGGAAAACGGGCACATGGATTATTGTCCATCCCGCTGTGATAGCGCCTTTGCGAAGGCCTGCAAACCAGACCAGTTTGGGCAGGGGTCTCGATGTGTGGTAGTGGTGGGTGTTTTCTCTCTCTGACATATCAGACCTGACCTCTATTCCATGTCCACCCTAGACAAGGGATGTCTCAGAGGGATGATTTTGTGGAGACTCCTATAATCACTGTCATTGTCATTATCACATAGTGCGCACACAGCACTTACCCAGAGAAGTTAAGCCATTTACCCAAGGGCATACAGCAAACAGGTAATGGAGCTAAGACTTGAATCCCAGTGGCCTGGCTATAGAGCCTGGGCTTTTAATCACCGTGCTACATGGCTTTGGCAGTACCTAGGGGATAGATCTGCCAATGGACTCCTCCCCCCAGAAAGGCCTCCAGGAGCCAGCCCAGGGATGAGGCCTTCCTGGCCCCATCATCCTGGCTGGGCTGTCACACCTGACTGGCTGTGGCCTGCACTGTCCACAATCATCCCAGCCTGAACAGGGCTAGCTGACTTCTTCCACCTCTCATCCTTCTAATGTGCAGGCCCAGTAGCTCCATTAAGATATTTCCAGAATTTCATCCCTCACCCCAGTCCCAGGCCCTAATCCTGGTCCATCCTTCATCCTCTCCCACCTGGACTGTGGCAGCTCCCCACAACACTCCAATATGCAGCCAGAGGGACCTGTTAACACCTGTCACATCAGGACCTTCCTAAAGGCATCTGCTTGCTGCACCTCACTGCAGGTAACAGCCAATGTCTCAACCACAACCCACAAGTCCCTGTGTGAACTTCCCTGTCATCTCTCCAATCTCACCTCCTCTCACTCTCCCCCTCAGTCACTCCACTCTAACCACCCTGGCCTCCTTGTTCCTCCTCACCCCAGGACCTCTGCACTGGCGTTCCTTCTGCCTGGAATGCTCTTTCCCCAGATACCTGGTTCCCTTACTCCTCTCTTTTAGGCTTTCGCTTATTGGTACCTTTCCAATGAGACCTTTTCTGCTCTATCTAACATTGCATCCCAACCCCACCCTCCTCACACACAAACACTCACTCCCTTCCCTGCTTCAGTGTTCGCCATAGCAACACTGTCTTCCTCCGGCTTATACCTTAGATGGTAGGGTATGTGCAGAGGCCGTTCTTCTCCCTGGAACATCCAGTCCACGTGCCTTCCAGGCCAGCTCCTTCTCATCATCAGGTGTCTGCTCAAACACTGTCTCCTTAGAGAGTCCTCCCTCCCACCCAGCCCATTACATTTTCATTCAGTCTTTATGGCACTTATCACAACCTGAAATTATACTGTTTATTTACTAGTTCATCTTCTGCTCAAGCAGAAAGTGAGCACCACGAGGACAGGACTTTTGTCAGCTGTGTTCACTGCTGTATCCCCAGCTTGGCACCAGCCTTGGCAAAGGGTACAAGGGGCTCTTCAGAACCAGGTACAACTCTCTCCAAACAAACAACCCTTGCTCTGCTCTGAGAATGTTTTACTGACCGCAAAGATTGAAGGTGGGGTTGGGACCTGGTTCCCAGGGTAATCACTGCTGACAGGGGTCTTGGGCCCAGGTCAGCCCTAAGGTTCAAGGGGTCCCTAGGAGGAGGTGGTGGGAGTCAGGGCCCTGAGGGAGGCACTGCTATGCCCCAGGCATGAGTCATGGGGCTGGGCCAAGCCCACGTTTGATGCGTCTCTCTTCCTCTGTCTTCTGTCATCTGTCCTGGTCCTTATGCACTGGGAGTCTGAGTGTCCAGGAGCTCAGGCTTGGCGTCCAGGGTGGGAGGTGCAGGACCTTGGGCAAGGACCACAGCTATGTCAGGCCCTCCACAGATGATGGTGAAGGCTTGGGACTCCTCAGGTCCAGGGAGCTGGGCCATCCCAGGCAAAGAAGTAGTAGAGATGGAGGACACAGGGGAATGAGGGGAGTGAGGGGAGGGAAGGAGGGAAGGAAAAAGTGGGGGCAGGGGGAGAAATGGTGAGGAACAGGGAGGTAGAGGTGGGAGGGGGGTGTCAGGAGACAGAGAGAGATATGGGCAGAGAGAGATGTGAGAACCAGAGAGACATTCATGAGGGTATAAAGAGGTATGGGGAAACAGGGAGAGAGATGTGGGGGAAGAGAGACACGGAGAGACAGATATGGGGGGTGGGAGAAATGTAGGTGCAGGGAGACAGGGATATGGATATGGGGGATAAAGATGCAGATGAAGAGAGACATGGGAAGTGGGGAGATAGATGTGATGACAGAGACATGGGGGCAGAAAGACAAAGATGAATGTGGGAGAGAAGAGAGACATGGGAAGTGGGGAGATAGATGGGATGACAGAGACATGGGGGCAGAAAGACAAAGATGAATGTGGGAGAGAAAGGAAGAGGTTGAGAGACAGGGATGGAATGGGGACAGGGGAGACAGAGAGAGACACTGTCAGCCCAGGGGCCCTGGCAGGCTCCATGAAGAGCCGCAGGCCTGAGTCTGAGTTATGTCCTTGCCCCCACCCCCACCCCCTCGTATGTCCCTCTTGTGCTCCAGCATGGTTCAGGCCACAGTCTCAAACATGAAGCCTCCGGGGACAGCCACTGCAGCTCTAGCTGACTGCTACTATCTGGGGATGCGAACCCAGTGCTGCTAGATCTGCTGAGCCTTCAGGAAAGACCAGAAAATATTTTACAGCATTACTGAGGCCAAAAGAATAATATCTGTGGGCCAGGCCCAACCCACTGGCTGTCAGGTTGAGACACCTTAGCTACAGAGGTACCTCAGGGGCTTTCTGAAACCCCCTCCCACCTCCCTTGTCCAGGCAGGAACAAGGGCCCTGGAACCTCAAGCTTGACCCTGGGGTTTTAAGCAGGAAAAAGGCCTGGTCAAATTTTGATTTTTAAAGACATGGTCCCCTTGGGAATTCCTTGGTGGTGCAGTGGTTAGGACTCTGTGCTTCCACTGCAGGGGGCACGGATTCGATCCCTGGTCGGGGAACTAAGACCTCACAAGCCGCGTGGCGTGGCCAAATAAAAAAAGACATGATCCCCTCCACTCCCCACGCCAGAAAATACTCAGCAGTAAAACATAGGGGCAAAAGGGCCTTAGATAGGGCCTGGGAGACTCTAGTATAGAGTTGGAAACTCAAGCTCTATAGGGGCCAGGCAGGGAGTGCTCCCACAGAGGAGCACAGGCCTCCTCTGGGGCCAGACACCCAGGTTTGAATCCTGGCTCTGCAACTTACTGACTGCCTGGCTTTGGGCAAGTTACTGGACCACTCTGTGCTTCAGTTTTTTCATATGGAAAATGGGGACAAGAACAGTTTCAATATCAAGGTCATAGTGAGTTTTCGATAAGTTATTTACTCTGTGTCTAGAAGAGAGTAAGGGCTGCTTAAATATTATAATATTATTAATAAATGGAGCAGCCACTATTCAGCTCCCACCGATAGTTGCTTGGCATTGCCAGACTGATTTTTTTCAAGCCAGAAATTTGGAAACACGGGTGAAATGTTCTGACTTTCAACTCTGGACTCTAGTTTAGCCGAAAGCACACCCACTGTGTGGGCCAGGCAGAGCACTCACCGCGCGCAGCCGGCCCCGGTGCGCCGGCGCCAGCAGGCTCTCCGCGCGCAGCTGCTTCGCCAGCTGTTCCAGAGACCGCAGCCGCGCCTGGTGCCGCTCGTGGCGCCGCTGGAGCCTTCGCACCCGCCGCTGCAGCGCTCCCAGCGCCGCGCCCAGCCCGGGCCAGGGGTGCTGGGCCGACACTCCAGGGCGCGGCCCCGTGGGAACCGGCGGAAGCGGCAGGGGAGTCAGGAACACGGTGCCTGGGACCTCGGGGCCCCCGGATGCTGGCCCCAACACCACAAGCTGTACGGGGCCAGGGGCCGGGACGGCTGGACCAGGGGACAGGGACGTGGCTTCCTGCGGAGTTGGAGGCACGACTGGTTTCTCGGTGCTTCGGGAATTCGTCTGCCTCTGGAAGACAAGGCAAGGGATGGGGGATCGAGGACATCAGGGCCGGACTCCAAGGAAAATTCCTCAGGAGTGGAGGGCTGAGAGTCAGCCTGCAGGAGGGACCTCCCTCAGAGGGGAGGGCGGGGGATCAGACTCCAGCAATGGGACTCTCCTGAGCTCACCTTGGCGGGCGGCGCTCCGGAGAAGATGGAGGGCACAGCATCCGGCCGCAGGTAGCGCACGCCCCAGCGCCACTGGAAGCAAGAGGGGGCGAAGTGCTCGCTGCACAGGTGCTGGTGGCAGCTAGGCACCCAGTGCTCACACCCCATGTGCCTCAGCCAGGCCTGCAGCCGGGGGCCATCCTTCAGGGGGAACCTGCCGGGGGGCGGGGTCAGCGAGATCAGGTCCAACCCCACCCCTCCATGAGGATATGCACACCCAGAGGTCCCTGAGCTCCAAACCTCTGCCTCCCCTGGGCCAGAATCTGGCCCTGCCTCCCAACCAGGCTCTCAACCTCCTACTCACATCCAGTTCTTCAGGCTCCACCTTTTAAACACCCAGCATCAGCCCACCTCTCCCACCTCCGCTGACCCTCGCATCCAGCCTCCAGCCTCCCCTGGCTGGGTTTTTGCAACAGTCTCCTTCCTGGTCTCTTTACCCACTGTCACTCTCCCTTCCCCTCCAGTCTGTTCCTCCATATGAATCCCAGGAGGCAGTTTACAGAATTGGACAAATCTAGATTGTGGGAGATCCCATATTCATGGGGGTTGGGGTGGGATTATAGATTAAAAGAGATTTAAGAAACATCAGTCCAAAGGCAGATGTGGACTTTGTCTGCAACAAGCCATTCTGTAAAAAGACATTTTAATACAATTGGGGGAAACTGAACATGAATTGGGTATTAGATGATTGTAAGAAGTTAATTTTGCTAGGTGTGATAATTATATTGGTTTAACCTTCTAAATAGTCATCTGTTGGAAAAATATTCTGAAATATTTATGGATAAAAGACCTAATGTCTGGAATTTACTTTAAAATACTGCATTAAAGATGTACATGGGAGGAAGGTGGATGAAAAACATTAGCAAAATGTTGACAACTGGTGTAAATGAGTGATAGATGCACGAGGATTCATTTAAACAACTCTATTTTTTGTGTATGCTTGAAAACATGTTAAAAAGTTTTTAAACAACTTAACAACAACAAATAACCCGATTAAAAAATGGGCAAAGGGGGCTTCCCTGGTGGCGCAGTTGTTGAGAGTCCGCCTGCCGATGCAGGGGACGCGGGTTTGTGCCCCGGTCCGGGAAGATCCCACATGCCGCGGAGCGGCTAGGCCCATGAACCATGGCCACTGAGCCTGCGCGTCCAGAGCCTGTGCTCTGCAACGGGAGAGGCCACAACAGTGAGAGGTCCGCGTACCACAAAAAAAAAAAAAAAAAAAATGGGCAAGGGACTTGAATAGACATTTCTCCAAAGAAGATACAAATGGCCAACCAGCATATGAAAAGATGCTCAACATCATTTATCATCAGGAAAATGCCAAACAAAACCACAAGATATCACCTCATAACCATTAGAATGACTACTATACAAAAACAAACAAACACAAAATAACAAGTGTTGGCAAGGAGGAGCAGAAACTGGAATGCTGTGCACAGCTGGTGGGAATGTAAAATGGAGCAGCCTCTATGTATGGCTGTTCCTCAAAAAATTGAAAATAGAATTACCATATGATCCAACAATCCCTCTTCTGGATACACACCCCCTAAAAATTGAAAGCAGAGTCTCGAAGAGATATGCGCATACTCATGTGCATAATAGCATTATTTACAATAGCCAAAAGTGGGAAGAAACCCAAGGGTCCATCAACAAATGGATTAGCAAAAGGTGGTATATACATACAATGAAATATTATTCAGCCTTAAAAAGGAAAGAAATTCTGACACATACTATAACATGGATGAATCTTGAGTACATTACGGTAAGTGAAATAAACCAGTCACAAAAAACCCAAATACTGTATGATTCCACTTATATGGGGTATCTAAAGTAGTCAAATTCAAAGAAACAGAAAGTAGAACGGTGGTTGCCAGGGGCTGGGGGGAGGGGGAGGGAAATTGGGAATTCTTGTTCAATGGGTATAGAGTTTCAGTTTGGCAAGATGGAGAAGTTCTGGAGGGACTTCCCTGGTGGTGCAGTGGTTAAGAATCTGCCTACCTATGCAGGGGACATGGGTTCGATCCCTGGTCCGGGAAGATCCCACATGCCACGGAGCAACTAAGCGCGTGCGCCACAGCTACTGAGCCTGCACTCTAGAGCCCACGAGCCACAACTACTGAGCCTGCGTGCTACAACTACTGAAGCCCGTGTGCCTAGAGCCCGTGCTCTGCAACAAGAGAAGCCACTGCTCGCCGCAGCTAGAGAAATCCTGCGCATGGCAATGAAGACCCAATGCAGCCAAAAATAAATAAATAAATTTTTTTAAAAAAAAGAAAGAAAAAGTTCTGGAGATTGGTTGCTCAACAATGTGAACATGCTTAATACTACTGAATTTAAAGATGGTTAAGAGGGGAGATTTTACGTTATGTGTATTTTACCACAATTAAAATTTTTTTTAATTTTAAAGTTATTTTTTTTAATGAATTAAATAAAAGCTTTCCCGGTGGGAGTGGATAGGGATTATCTGATAAAGCACCCTCTACAGGCGCCCAACGACTTCTGTGTCCATAAGAAGTAGTGCCACCCGTTAACTGGTGCCACTGTCCCCAACGTCTCTTTTTGCCCTCTTTTATAGCAATTCACTTTCTATTTAGACCTTGGTTCAAGACTGTCCACAATAAAGACCTCACTTCCCAGCTTCATTTGCAGCTAGAGGTGGCCACATGATTAAGCTCCGGCCAGTTTGTTCTGTGGGAGCTGCCAGAAACTGTGAAACGTTAAAGGCTTATTTTAAGCTGCTAAATGTTGGGATAGTTTGTTATGCAGCATTAGATAACTAATACAGTCAGTCATCCACATCCCACCTTCACAATGTCTTCCATATCTGTGACTTTTTTTTTTTGCGGTACACGGGCCTCTCACCGTTGTGGCCTCTCCCGCTGCGGAGCACAGGCTCCGGACGCGCAGGCTCAGCAGCCATGGCTCACGGGGCCAGCCGCTCCGTGGCATGTGGGATCTTCCCGGACCGGGGCACGAACCGGCAGGCGGACTCTCAACCACTGCGCCACCAGGGAAACCCTGTGACATTATTTACTTAATATTTTTCTTAAAATTGACCAACTTAAGTATTAAATGAAGATACCTAAAAGAGAAACTTTAAACCACAATTGAAAATGGAATACCAGTATCAATTCCATAAATAGGAGTTAACCATAAAAACATCTGATACCTTTACTTGCTCAGGGCTATAAGGCCTGCTCTCTCTTTGTTAAAAAGGAAGAGTAAGGAGTGTTAGAGGGTGGGGGACAATCCCATCCATAGGAGACAGGACAAATAAACTCAGGCATATGCACACAAAAGAATACCATGCAGCTCTAAAATAGGCTGAAGGCACTGTATGAACTGATATGCTATTGTCAGGCATACATTATGTGAAAAAAGCAAGGTTCCAAATAGAGTATATCAGCTTTTAGTAATTGTGGCAGCCTGAATAACGGTCCCCCAAAAGACATCCATGTCCTAATCCCCGGAGCCTATGAATATTGCATTTCATGACAAAGGATGTGATTAAGTTAAGGATCTTGAGATGGGGAAAATTATCCTCTACATCATCCAGGTTGGCCCTAAAAGCAGTTGCAAGTATTCTTATAAGAGGGAAGCAGAAGAACATATTACCACAGATAAAAGAGGAGACGCAATGTGACGACAGAAGCAGAGATTGGAGTGATGTGGCCAAAAGCCAAGGAATGCCTGTGGACACCAGAAACTGGAAGATGCAAGGAACAGATTTTCTCCTAGAGCCTCCTGGGGGATGCAGCCCTGCTGACACCTTGATTTTTGGCCCAGTGAAACCGATCTGGATTGTGAGAGAATAATTCCTATTGTTTTAAGCCACCAGGAGTTTGTAACAGCAGCCATAGGAAACTAACAAAGTAATAAAGGGGGAAACAAGAACGTATGTTCAGATTTGCTTGTATTTGCATAAAGAAACACTGGGAAAGACACGTAAGAAAGTAAAGAGGCCACCAGTGGGGAGGAGGTGGATGGGATGGACAGAGGTTGTTGGTGGGGAGCAAAGGAAGGCTTCTCAGGCGAAAGGCAGACAGAGAGGGAAGTGGGGGATAGCTGGTGAATGAGGACAGAAGGGCTGACTCAGAGGAGAGCGTGGCATCCAAAGAGCAGAACCCCAGGGCACAGAGCCAGGAACTCTGGCCGATGCAGTTCCTTCACCCTCAATCTGAGATCCAAGTGTTCTCACCAGCCTCCTTCTGCCTGGACACGAACATGAAATCCCTTGTACCAGCACTTCCCACCTGCTCCTGGGCAGAGACTGCCAACTGATTACTCCACGTCCACCCTCTTCTTCCTTACTAACAAACTCCAACTTATTTGAGGCCATAATGTGCCCTGTTAGACGACTGTCTCCCAGGTTCCTTTGCAGTAGGTGGGCCATGTAACTAAGTTCTGGCCAATACTTTCATGTTGGGTGAGACATCTAGGATGGTACCTTAAATGTGAGAGGGTTCTCAAATGGAATCAGAAGCAGCTCAAGGCGCAAAGGAGGAAAGTAATATCATAGAAAACCTCTTCCTAATTTGGTCTTGTTTTTATTCTCTTTTGTTCCTCTAGATGGCAACATTTATGTTAGGAAATGTCCCTCTCTAAAATTCTACCTTAAGTGCAGAGCCAGTGTCCTCCTTTTTTTATAGAATATTTTAGTCTTGTTGGCCATTCTATCTACAGCACTGCTAGGAGTTCTTCTTTTCTTCCTTACTAACATAACTCAGAATGTCTTCAGGGTGGTTAACTGCCCATCAAAAGACTACATTTCCCAGGCTCCTTTGCAGTTTTGGGGGGGTGACCAATGATGAAGAACCTGCCGTTGGGTGGGATTTCTGAGGCTTTGTAAAGGGGACCAGCTCAGTTTAGAGTTGTGTCTCTTTTGCTCTTCGCCCCTTCTCTTTTCTCCCTACCAGAAATGGTTGGGCATGATGGCTGAGGTACTTGGCAGCCACTGGATGGATATGAAAGATGGGACCCTCATCCCTGATGATTGTGGAACTGTCACACCAGCGCTCATCTGCCAACCTCTATACTTGCTTCATGTGAGAGAAAAATAAACCTTGCGGTAAACTGTATTATTGTTCAAGACATTTTCTGCCCTTTCCCACACGAAGATACACATTTCCACTCTACTGACCTGACGCTTGCCATAGACTTGCTGTGGCCAAAGAAGTAAAAGTGATATGGGCCACTTCTAAATATGCAATTTACCAGGAGCCATTGGGTGATTCTCCCCACTTTCTCTTTTCCCCTCCCACAAGACCAACAATATTCCAGGTAGGGGAGGCTCCTTCAGCCTGAATCCCCAATTAAGATACAGTAGAGAAGGGCCACAAATGGCCGACAAAGGACATTAGTGTGAGTGAGGAATAAACCTTTGTTGTGGTAAGCCCCTGAGATTCTGTGAGTTTGTTACTGTAGCATAACCTAACCACGCTGATTCCTATAGACCCCATAATTTGGTAAAGCCACTATTATTTCAGGACTTTGTTACTGCCAGACAGATGCAATTCCTACCTGTGAGACACCTCCCCCTGCCATGAGAGATGACTGTCATTTGTTCCTGAAAGGGCCTAAATCACAACTAATGAATGTTTCCTTTGGCACCCAGGCAGGAATTTTGAGTTACTTCCTAGCAGCCACTTCCCTCAGTGTTTCACCTTGTTCCTTCCTAACATCCATGCCCTCTCTTGAATCTCCTTTGGAGACTGCTCCTCACCAAACTCTTAGCTAAATGGCTTCTTCAAGAGTGACTCAGGGATGGACCTTGAGGTGGGAATGGGTCAGCCTGTGTGAGGAACAGCCTGGCAGCCACTGGTGGGATTTAAACAACACAGGCATGAACTGATTTTTATACGGTCGCCTGGCTGCTATGCACAGTTCTCACTGTTCTCCTTATTATTATGTGTGAAGCACTTAGAACACTTACCTGGCATACAGTAAGTGCTCTTTAACCAAGTTATTATTGTCATCGCTGTAAGGGAAGCAAGCGTAGAAGTAGGGAGACCAGCAAGCATCTATCACAGCGTCTCATTAAGAAATGATGGGGACTTCCCTGGCGGTCCAACGGGTAAGACTCCGCACTCCCAATGCAGGGGGCCCGGGTTCGACCCCTGGTCAGAGAACTAGATCCCACATGCATGCCACAATTAGGAAGTCCACATGCTGCAACTAAGAAGTCCGCGTGCCATAAGTAAAGATCCCACATGCCACAACTAAATATCCCGCATGCTGCAACTAAGACCCAGCACAGCCAAAACAAAGAAAGAAAGAAAGAAATATTAAAAAAAAAAAGAAAGAAAGAAATGATGGCAGCCTGGGCTATGCTGTGACAGCAGAGGTGATAAGAAGTGGTCAGACTAGGAATGTGGTGGGTTTTCTTTCTTTCCTTATTTCCTAATAGTTTAGCGAGGATTCTGCCATTTGCATTTACAACTGTATTGCCAAGGAGTTAGGGCTTTTGTTGTGATTGCTGCAGGATGGGACTGTTTTGGAGGGTAGAGTCAAAGGATGGATTAATGGACTAGATTGGGGGCAGTGGTGCTGAAGAAGAGAAAGGATCAACTTGTGTCCTCAGTTCTTTAGTGATTGACCCCGCACCTATCCATGAGCTCTGTCAGGGCAGGAACAAGATCTGTCAGGGTCCTTTGTGTCCAGCAGGAGCTTACTTACTACAGGAGACGCTCGGAGTTGCTGACTTAATAAACGATGTCAGAGTGATATATATTAAAAAGCAAGTCTGGACATACTGATTTAGGTTCAAAGACTCCTCTGTCCTCCTCCTCCCCTGAACCAGGGTCCCTCAAGGGATAGCTGGGACATGGCATTCTGAGTTTCCTGAGGAGCCCACCTGAAATGCATTCATCGAATTCATCCAACAAATATTTACATGCTGCGGAGCGGCTGGGCCCGTGAGCCATGGCCGCTGAGCCTGCGCGTCCGGAGCCTGTGCTCCACAACGGGAGAGGCCACAACAGTAAGAGGCCCGCGTACCGAAAAAAAAAAAGAAGGGGACTTTTGTCACTTTACATCTGCAACACGGCCTGAGAAAAATATAGAAAATTTTTTTCCTATTAACTCTTCAGCTAGCTTTTCCCGTGTCTGTCATTCCAGCCAAATAAATAAGAGAGCAGGTTTTTTGTTGTTATTGGGTTTTTTTTGTTTTACAGTTCAAGCTAATTTTTACTTTCTCAAGTGTGAGAAAAGAGAAGAAGTAAAGATGACTCTAAGCGTTTCTAGCCTGAAAGACGGTAAGGATGGAAAGCTATTAACTAGGATAATAAAGGATATGGGAGGTTTTAGGAGAGACAAAATCAGGGGCTTGGTTTCGGATGTTTTGAGTTTGAGATGCCTCAAATCCGTGGGGACGGCTAGTGGGCAACTGTAGGCTCTTTCTGAGCCTGGACCAACCTCACTTCTGTCTACACGGCCCTCCCATTCCTCCGCTCGCCCCGTTCACTACCTGCAGTTAATCGTCTACCCCTGCTGTTTCACACATCTGCACCTTTACATGTGCGGTGTCTACTGTTAGTGAAACACTGGGAACACGGTCTCTTCAACCTGCTAACCCTGCTTCCAGATACCGGTAAGATGGACTAGATCCCCCGCACTGCCGCATTTACCCTCGGGCCCGCCCCCACAGGGCCCCGCCTCCCTGCAAGCCCCGCCCCTCGCTTGTGCTCACTTGTAGAAGCTCACCGGGCGGTTGTCCGCGCCCAGTTGGCCCGCATTGTTGGAGCAGTTCGGAGCCCGGCAGTACTTGGGCATGGCTGTCCAACCCAACTGGGTTTTGCCCGGTCTGAAGACGCACTTTGGTCCTCGCCGGGCGCCGCCGAACCCCGCCCCGCCCGCGCGCTTGCAGCGTGCCTGACGTAAGGGGCCTCGTCACGTGCCTGCGTACTGCGCGCCAGGCCGTGTTACCACAGCTACGCCCTCATCACGTGGCAAATAGAGACAAGCGAGAATGTGTGCGCAGAGCCGGCTCTTAGCCACCCGGACCTCATCACCTGATGGGGGAGAGGTGGCGTCAAGGCATTTCTGAGTCTGCGCCAACTCTTCAGTCTTTTTCGGCTCCACCCTACGCTTACATCCGGGCGACTGCCACTGCGCGGATAGTCGCCCTTGGGTGAGGGTGGGGGGGCAGCAAAAAGCGAGGCGAGGAGGCTTTGGCATTAGCTTCGTAAAAGTTAAAACCTGATATTTATTGAATGACGAAAACACAGACGGGATTTAAAAAAAACTCCACAACGCTCGATCAAGTATCAAGCTGAGGAGCCGTGGCTCCACCCTGCCAGACCCTCCGCTCCGACTCTTAGCTCTCATTGGTCAAAAGCGCCTCCTGGCAACCCTGAGATTGGCCAGACCGGCAGCCGGCCGCGTCCAATGGGCGGCGGCGCCGGCTTTCCCGCGGCCGTTCGCTGTTCGGTGGCAGTTGAGGAGTGTAACGGTCGCCGGGCTCCGGAGTGACGATGGCGGCCTTGGGGCCCGGAGGCTACGCGCGGAACGATGCAGTCGAGAAGTTGCCATCCATCATGGCGGGAGTTCCGGCGCGGAGGGCCCAGTCCTCCCCGCCCCCCGTTCTACCGCTCTGCCTCCGGCGGCGGACGAGACTCTCGGCGGCGCCCGAGGACACGGTGCAGAACCGGGTGAGGAGCTGCTTGCCTTGCCCATCTCAGTTCCAGGTTCCCCTGGGTCTCCCTTGGTCCCGCCCTTAGATCTTTGGCCCCGCCTCTCAGCCCCCGGTTGGTACCCCCTCTAGTTGCTCTCTGACCCGACTAGTCCTCTAAACCCCGCCCCCTTAGCCAAGGCTCATCCCACTGCCCGGTCTCCTCCTCTCTCGGGTAGTGCCCGTTGTTCCTACTCCCACTTCTCAAACCCGGGCCCCACCCTTAGCCCTTGGAGCGTTGCCGGGGTTCCTCCCTGGCGTTGTACCTTGGAGCGCATTTTAGTTTTGCTAATCACCTCCTAGTTCTGTTTATCCCTTTAGTTACCTTTAGATGTATCTCTAGGCCACTTTTGTATCCTTCCACTTTTGTTGACCTCACCCCCCTCTTGGTCTTTAGGGTCTCTACCAGGGTTCAGTCCCGAGTCCTACTTGTTCCAACTCTTCCTCAGCTCTAGCCTGCCTTCCTTCATCCGCTGCCTTCTCTTTCCTTCTCCTTTACCAAGGTGGGATTCTTAGTCCATATTGCCACCCTAAATTATGGACAGGATGTGAGTAATATTTGTAAAATCTCAGCAGCACTGCCGGAGGTAGGGAGACGGCGTGTGGAACAGTTCCTTAAATCCTGAGACACAGAAACAAAGATTTTAGAGTAGGTAGAAGAAATTCCAGTAGCACAGCAGCAATTTAAAAAATCGTTTTCCAACTCCCTGAGCTGCAAAGTCTGTTTTTATAAAATGGAGATAACGATAACCATGGTGTTGCAGGGAGATGCGACAAGATTGTGAATATGACCTACTTGGCACAAAGTCCAGGTAGAGGGTCAGTACTTGGTAGCTGCTGTGGATCTTGTTCCTCCTCCGTGGCTTTCTGCTACACTCTGATTATATCACCCACTTCTGGGTGCAAGGCGCTAGGCAAGTGGCCTCTGCCCACTTCTCTCGCCATACTTCCCTTGGCCTCCCTCTCATGAAGGTTCAGTCACACTGGCCTGCTTTCTGTTTTCCTGAGGCTCCAATCTCTTTTCCGCCTCTTAGCCTTTGTGTTTGTTGAGTCCTCTGGGCTTTTTGCTGCAGTCTACCCAGCTGGCTCCTATCCCTCGAGTCTCAGCCTGAATATCCCTACCCTGAAAGGCCTTCTTGAACCCCAGCCTAAAGCAGACCCCCACCTAAGTCTCTCACCCAGAACCCTGTACCTCATAGCCCTTATCTTGTATGTTCCTGAAAGTGCCTTGTGGGCGCTAAAGTGTATAAAGGAGAGGAATAACAATAGTAATTTCAGAGATGCAGTATAACAAGGTGGTTAAGAGCACCGCCTCTAAACCCAGACTGCCTGGGCTTTAACCTTAGTTCTGTTCTTCCTTTCCTGATCTTTTCTGTGCCTCAGTTTCCTCATCTGTAAAATGAGGATAATAATATAAGTGTTCCCTTATAGGGTACTGGTGAAGATTAAGTAAGCTCACATATCTTAAGCACTTAGAACAACAGCTGGCACACTGTAAGTACTCTCTTGGTGTTAGTTACTGCTGTGATTGTGTGTTCAATATTTTGGGTGATTGATGTCATTTATTTTTCTTGTTTGGTGGTGTAGGGTCCATCCAGCTTGCGAAAGACCTAGTCTAAAAATGACCAGCTATGCTAATGCCCAGTAACAGATTAAAAAAACGTGACTGCCGTTGCGTGGTTGCCTGGGTTCGTCCTGGCACTGCTCCCTGCAGATGGATTACCCTCATGGGCCTCTGTTTCCTCATCTGTAAGGTGGAGATGATGAGGATGACAGTGACCACATCACGGGGTTGTTTGAGCATTAAATAAGTTAATACAGTTATAGGTGTTTAAACAGTGCCTGTCTCCTGGTTAGACGCTCAATAAATATTACTTATTACTATCTTCTATTTGCCTTTCATTTCTGAGGCCCACCACCTTGCTTGAGAATGTTTTACTTTATAATAATTAGAAACTAGTCTCTTCAGAATATGAAAATACCACAGTTTGTTAGTTCATCCTCTAAATTGTTTAATCAGCCATGATGGGGACTGGCTCATTTGACTTATCTTGCTTAGAGAATTTTAAAATTTCAAATGCGATTGTTCAAGTTCACTTGTTTCTTTACCCGTTGAACCTCTAGACTGTGAATTTATTGAGGGAACGGACAGTGTCCACTTCTGTTCACTGCTGTAAGCAAAGTGCTGCACAAAGTGCTAGCTTTGAAGCCAGAGACTACCTGGGTTTGTATCCCAACCTTGCCACTCCACAGGGGTGGGACCTTGGGCCTCTGTCCTCATCTGTAAAATAGTGGTGATAATAGCAGCTTCTTCGCAGTGTTGTGGGCTGTCAAGTCTTTAATCCATATAAAACACTTAGAGTCTTATTCACCTTCTCAGTGAGGCCTTCTCCCCTTCCTCTGTACTCTCAATCTCCTTCCTTGCTTAATTTTTCTCTAATGCTCCCATCGTCACCTGACATCTATTTTACATATTTGTTCTGTTCATTTTCGATGTCCACCATCCCATCACCCCCAGAATGGGAGCTCCAGGAGGACAGGGATTTTTTTTGTCTATCTTCCTCACCATTCTGTGCCCTTCACCTAGCACTGTATTTATCAGAGCAGCATTTGAGGAGGACAAGCTTTAGTTGCTGGTAGATGACTCTAGACGCTCAGTGAATGTGTTGGAGTGACAGGGATTGAATGGGTGGCTGAGGTGACTGTGCCACGTGGGGCCTGCTGGGGCAGCTGCTTCTAATTTGGGCCTTTTCCCTGCAGGTATCACTTGAGAAGGTGCTTGGCATCACAGCCCAGAACAGCAATGGCCTAACCTGTGACCCCAGCACAGGCCACGTGGCCTACCTGGCAGGGTGAGTGAGTGGGTGGGCCTCGGCCTCTGATCCTGAGTTCAGAGCCTGAAGTCTTCAATGAATCTCTCTGGGCCTCACCTTTTCCGTCTGTAGAATGTATAATGCTGCCTACCTCTGAGGGCTGTGGGAAGGATTCCATGGGCCCTTCTGTGTATAGAACAGTACCTGGCATGCGTGAGTGCTAAGAAAGCCTTATTATGACTGCAGGCGGGAGGTGGCAGTGATTCTGGGAAAGGTAGGTGGTTAAGATCCAAGCCATGGTTGGTGTCAGCCATCTGGATTTGTGTCCCAGCTCCACTGTGTGTGCCCTTCTCCAAGCCTCTGCTTCTGTGAAACAGAACTAGTGATACCCTCCTCTTGGGTAGTTAGTTGAGAGGACTGAAGGACATTTGCAACTGTTTATTCCACAAATACTGGTCTAGCCTGGCACTCTTCTAGGCACCGAGGGGACCCCTCACCCCCACAGGGCAGGGCAGAGCAGGGCCATAGTAATTCCTGATGAACAGTATCTGTTACTGAGTCTCTGGGAAGCAGCCAGAATAGAGGACAGGGTTGGGCTCTTGAATCTGACAGGTGTGGATTCACTTACCCACTCTGTCCCCGACCTGCTGGGGAGTCTTGGGTAAAGGACTTCCCTCTCTGTAAAGGGCTTCAGTTTCATCATCTATGAAAAGCGACAAAGATTCCTGACCTCATCTGGCGGTTGTGAGGATTTAAAGAGATTGTGCACAGTATGTCTTTATTAGCCCAGAACCTAACAGTTACCACAGAGGAAGTGTTGGCTTCTATTTAAGATTATATTGATATTAATAATAATGTTGGGACTTCCCTGGTGGCGCAGTGGTTAAGAATCCGCCTGCAAATGCAGGGGACACGGGTTCAATCCCTGGTCCGGGAAGATCCCACATGCCGCGGAGCAACTAGGCCCATGTGCCACAGCTATTGAGCCTGTGCTCTAGAGCGCACGAGCCACAACTACTGAGCCTGCGTGCCACAACTACTGAAGCCCGTGCGCCTAGAGCCCGCACTCCGCAGCAAGAGAAGCCACCGCAATGAGAAGCCCACGCACCCCAATGAAGAGTAGCCCCCGCTCGCTGCAACTAGAGAAAGCCATAAATAAATAAATAAATGTTTAAAATAATAACAACAATAATAATGTTAAGTGCCCAGAATCCTCAGCATAGATAATGGAGGAGGGGGCTCTTGTGTTGGGAATAGAATCATCCCTGGACCCCAATACTCCCCTTAGTTTGGGCACATTTTCCTCTTTCTCCCCAGCTGTGTGGTGGTGATTTTGAACCCCAAGGAGAACAAGCAGCAGCACATTTTTAATACAGCCA